GACAACTTCCAACATGTCTGAGGAAGGAATGAGTCTGCAGGACCTTGTGTTTGGACACTAGCCCAAGTGGGCCAAGTGATGTATATGAATGGGGAAAGCTCCTCTGGCTTGCCTTCATGGATAAGCAGTCCCTCATTCACCACCACATCTAGGTCAGAGAGGATCCTGCCTGGATTGTACCACACTGATAAATTACTGCTGGGGCAGGGATAGGAGGGTGGAGCTCATCATCAACACATCCATCATCTTCTGTTAACACCAAATAAAGGATGAGATCTAATCACATGCCAAAGAAAACCTCACTGGGAGAATTTGAGAAACCTTGTCTGATACTGAGCTGTAGTGCTGGAACAATTGTTAAGGAACTAGAATGGTGGGGGGGGGGGGGGGGGGGGGGGGGGGGTGTGTGTGTGAAAACTAAATGTATCACTCACTATGACTTCTGATTTATTTATAAAACAATGTTTGTCCCATTGGCTCCCCTTTTAATAGTTTCACTGGAGCCTGTTTATTATTACAGATGTTACTTTTAAATGAAGTCATTGAGCTTTCCTTGCAAAGGCGGTATTTGGGTTTTTATTGCAGGGTTGGCAGGGCTGCTCATTGAGCCATGTAAATGAGATCAAGGTCAAAATTCAGACCCCAAGAGATAAGGCAGAGAAACCTCATCCATGTGGGTACATTCCTATCAGCCAGATGTTTCATGGGGGGGGCGGCCACCCCACCTCACAATGATCTTGGAAAAGGCATTATAGTCACAGATTCTTGATTTTTCACACTCTCTTCTTGCCCAAAGTGAAACCTCGGGCATATCACAAAAGCTTTCTGAGCCTGTTTTCCTCATCTATGACTTAGAGGTAATAATTTTTTTTAATTTTATTTTTATCTTTAAGTAGTCAAAAAAGAAGTAATCGTTTTTACTCCTACAATTTTTGTGAGGCTAAGCAGTGCCATCCCTCCTTGGTGATGGGAAAAATGTAAGGTGATTGTTGCTAAAAGTCTAAGGCTTTGGAAAGGCCTCAAGTCCTACATGCAATATGTTTTGCAAGGTTCTTTTAGAGGACCTCTGACCAGCTATGGCTTGCCACTGATTTTTGTAAATAGACTTTCATGGGCACACAGCCACACTCATTCATTTACACAGGCCTGCGGTTGGCTTCTCATTACAATAGTAGAGTTGAGTAGCTTTGACAGAGATCTTATAGTATGCAAAAGGAGTTCTGCTGCGTGATCCTTCATAGAGGTTGACAATCACTGTAGCAGACTGAATGAAAGTTCTGTGCTGAGATCTGGTCATTGAAAACCAAGTAGTAATAGAAATGAGTGGACTTCAAGTGCTTCTGAAGGTCTGTGGGTTTCATCTCATTCTGACCTAAACATGGGAATTCTTACTGCATGTGAAATGACTGGTTTGTGAATGGGAGAATCCCAACAGCATGTGTGTGGGCATTAGCACAAGACTTGCCACATCCCAGCCCGGTGCATGCTTGCTATGGTCAAGTCGACCTTAGGGTCTCATCAGACCATTCATAGGCATAGCCCCAGGTAAGCCCTGGCAGATGTTCCTAGAAGGGGCAGGCTGACTGTTTATGACATAGTCATATGTTATCTCAGCAATTTCTTCCAAAGTTGAAGTTAATGAGCAGCATAAAATACAAGGTTTATTGACCAACATCTTGATTTTTTTTTTATATTTTGGAAGGGATCCAGTGACAGGTGGAGCTGGCTAAACAGATCTGCATCTGTAACTGCCGGGAATAAAGATGAATCTGGCATATAAACGTCAATCTCATACTTTAATTACTGTCACATTTGTTCATTTTTGGAAAACAACCAAAATATTTGCCATGGCTCAGAAAGCAAGCCCCTAGAAAACATATTTTTCATGACAGGGAGACACCTACAAAGTAAATACAACTCTAAACTTGGTGAGCCTCACTCAAATAGAGAGAGGGAGACATGAGCCAAATAGACTGTCACTCTGTGTTCACGTCATTTGGGGCAACCACAGCTGATCTCTGCATCTGCTTTCCTTGGATAAGTTTACAAGCAGGCCTTTGCTTTTGGCTTCTGGCTTTGCTATGTCAGCATCTCCCAAAGAAAATTCACAATTCCTGCCCTGGCTGCCATCTTGAAAGACCATTTGCACTCTATACACCCAAGTGCAAAAATCCACTGCAACATGTGCAGGACACCTAGCATAAGGACTGTTAGGCATATGTCCTTGGTACTGGTTCATCTATCCTGTCTTTGGATAGCCCTCCTCCTAAGCTGATCCAAGCTGATAATCAGACACTATGCTAATTAATAAAAGGTTTGGTGTGTCTTTTTAGTCTCCCTCAACTAGTCTATTTTTGTTTTATGTTTTGTTGGTCAGTCCTGGGGCTTGAACTCATGGCCTGGCTGCTATCCCCGAGTTTTATCACTCAAGGCTAGCACTCTACCACTTTGAGCCACAGTGCTACTTCTGGTTTTCTGGGGATTAACTGGAGACGAGTCTCATGGACTTTCCTGCCTAGACTGGCTTTGAACCATGATCCTCAGATCTCAGCCTCCTCGGTAGGTAGGATTATAGGAGCAAGCCACTGGCACCCGGCTTATTTGTTTTTGAAGAAAGAACTTGTATCATTTTGCTCCCCTTCCTTTCATCCTACCATGTAGTCCCCTGCCTAGAGAAGGCCAAGAGCAAATGGAGATGAGTCAACCAAAGCCAAGCAGGCATCAGGATCATGGATGGAAACCTAGTGGGTTGAAAGCAGAAGCAGGGCCTCCTGTGTCCAATGGGAATTCAGTCCATGTAATAAGCCACCTTGCAGACCAGCCACTGGACTGAAGGCTAAGGAGACAGAGCAGACCCATGTCTTACCTTGGAGTTAATGATGATCTGGAGTAAGAGAGGCAGGCACATAATAGTCACATCCCCTTTATTGAACTGCCCAGATATCTGCGTCCCCCCTATATCCTATGATAGTCTTCATATTTCCATTTCAGAATTTTGGACCTTGATGTTTACCAGGATATTAAAACAATCTTGTAAGTTGTCCACCCTTTTGTCATATGGAGCAGAAGAATTTTGCTAAGAAAGAAATAGAACACACGTTTGATTCAGAAGAGCTATGTTTAAGAAACAACCTTACCACCTGCTAACTGGATTTGCATTTGCTCAAGATATAGTCTGTCTGTCTGTCTGTCTATCTATCTACACTATCTACACAATCTATATACCTTTCCCTAGCTCTGGGTGGATGATGCCAAATTCCTGTTTGTACAGCACTGAATATATGACATAGGTCAGGGAGGGAGAGAAAAAAACTGGTATTTTAAACTAAGACGACAATTTTGGGGAGGGTAAGTGCAGTGAAGGAAAGTGAGGTTAGAAAGAGCTAGGAACCATCTTTGGGCTCCCATTTTCTCATTTGCAACATGGAAATTAGGCCACAAATTGTGTTTCATTTTGGATACGTTAAATGAAATATCTGTGTGAGTACTCTGTCTCTATAGAGGTCAAGGTCCAAGATCGCTATCCGCTACAACTCAGCCCCTAGAGCCATACAGAAACAGATCCTCGACTTGGGCATTTGGGCATGTGTGTTTGGCTAAACACACCTTCTTTCCCTTCCTTTTGCCTTTGCTCAGAATTTTCTTTACTAAATTGCTTTGCATCTGTAAGTCTGTTGGTCTATCAGTTATTGCACCAGAACTTAAGTTTTGCTCATCTTTATACATCTGGCAGCATAGAAAACCAACTTACACATAGTAAGTTGTTAGTGTCTAGCAAAGGACTGAGTTGGTATAAAACAGAGCAAGGGCAAAAAAGCTCAACGAAATTAGATTGTAAGAGTGTTTGGGCAGGTGGGGTGGGGGAAGGCTGGGTGTGTTTTTGCATACCTATTATCTGAGTACTCAGGAGTATGGACATGAGAACTGAGCATTTGAGGTCAGCCTGGAATACATCATGACACACTGCGTAAAAGAATAAATAAGGAGACAGGTTTGCATACAAGTTGGGTAGCCCTGGGCTGAGGGCAAGTCAGATGTGGACCAGTGGCAGGAAGGGATACGATGCAAATGCAGCATGATGTGATGAGCAGGAACCAGTGTACCTAGGCTTGAACCCCATTTATTGATGCATTTCTTAAGCTTCATGTAAGTCTCTTTCTTAAGCTCAAATTCCAAGAAAGAATAATAAGAACCAATAGCCTAGGCTTTTTTTTTTGTCGGTTGTGGGGCTTGAACTCTGGGTCTAGGCACTGTCCCTCAGCGCTTCAGCTCAAGGCGAGCGCTCTACCACTTGAGCCACAGCACCACTTCCAGTTTCCTGGTGGTTTATAGGAGATTAGAGTCTCACGGCGTTTCCTGCCCAGGCTGGCTTTGAACTGAGATCCTCAGATCTCAGCCTCCTGAGAGCTAGGATTACAGGCGTGAGCCACTAGCACCCGGCTAGGCTTCTTTTTTTTTTTTTTAATGGTGGCAAATAAGGGCATATCTCTATCCCAGCACTGAGAGCATAGGAATCATTCTAACACTTTGTAAACAAGAGCCATAATCCTAAGTGGTTATGGTTCTGGGCCTCATGCACCATCTGTGCTATTTCCCTCACTGTGAAGTGACACAAATGAAAGCAAAGTCTGTTAACATCAAATCAGTCTTCAGTTAGAGAATGTACCTCAAGCCAACAAGTGTACACTAGCTCAACAGGGATTGGCCCCATGAGAGAAGAGAGTGATTAATGCAAATGAATCATTTGTGCTAGAAAAATAATCCAGGACATAGAAAATCACCCTACAATGTTAAGAATAATAGTTTCATTTAACTGAAACATTATACTTTCTATTCACAGGTTATTTTTTTAAGAGCAGGAAGAAAATATTTTGTAGAAAATTTACAACCTTGTTATCTAGTGGGATTTCTTCATACTACAAACAGGTTATACAGAACAGATGCTGTAGCTATGTACACCTGTGGATTTGGTGGTTATATTTTTTTCCCTACTCCTCCAGTTCTTGCAGACAACCTGAAATCCAATCCTGGAATTAAGTGGCAGTATTTCAGTTCAGAAGAAGGAATTTTCACGGTTTTCCCAGCTCACAAGTTCCGGTGTAAAGGCAGCTATGAACATCGCAGTAGGTATGTTGATTTGCTAAAGTTTTGTTCTTTTTGTTTAAGAGTGATTTCCATAAACAGGCTGAGCACATGGCTCATGGTAGAACCCTGGCCTACCCTTGGTAAAACCTGTGTTCAATCCCCAGTATGCAGATAAAGAAATTTAAAAAAAAACATGGACCACATGAAACATAGTTCTTATGCCATATACAGCTCTGCCTCAAAGCTGTTAAGTTGAGAATTTTGAGCTGTTCTAAAATGATGTCCCCATTTGAATCATGAGGATGTAATAGGCTAGGGTAGGACAGACCAGAAGATCTTTCCACGACCTGTCTAAACAAACTGTATGAAATTGACGTGTTGGAAGCACTTAAGAGTTTTTGAACGTCAGATATCTTTGTTGAAACATAAAGAAATGATGGTACCTTCTCTATAGTACAACACAAGACATGACATGGTGATAGATTCCAGTAGATTTTGTGATTCTCAACCTTCCTTTCCATGATTGAAATTTATATGCCAATTTCAGCTACTAGAAGTTGTGAAACTACTACTAACTACTAGTACTCCAACTACTAAGATTGTTCAGAAGGCACTGGATTAGAAATCACCACCGTCCTGGGATAGTACTATATAGCCAGAGGGAGAGAGAGTAATGGGGAGATAGATCATTTATATGACAAGACTCATCAATTTGTAGACCTCTCCTAGGCAAAAAAAGCTTTCTTTTTTAGCCTAGACAGTTTCCTATTTGCTGTGTCAAGTGTTTGGTGCCAGAACATATGAAGCCAGTGCCAGCTGCCCACTTTCCATGCCATGCCATTTTTTAGTATCTAAATAAACCATCTCTTTAGCTTCCTCCCTGCCTTTCCTTTGAAGCATCTAGAGTTTGTCTCCTAGGAAAAAATACTTGGTCTATGCTTTTACTACAAAAAGACAAAGCAAAACATTTTTACTGTGTGTTTTTTGACTTTCATATTCTGGTAAGACTTGAGCATCTTGGAGTCTGGACCAGATGTCATGATTTGGGCTTCTAATTGGCTCATCTCAAGAATGCCTGGGCTATCAGAAACCATCTAATTATTTTTTTCCTTTTTTTTTTTCTTTTTTCCTTTTTTGTTAGTCATGGGGCTTGAACTCTGGGCCTCGGTGCTGTCTCTCAGCTCTTCAGCTCAAAGCAAGCACTCTACCACTTGAGCCACAGCACCACTTCCAGTTTTCTGGTAGTTAATTGGAGATAAGAGTCTCACAGACTTTCCTGCTGGGCTGGCTTTGAACCACAATCTTCAGATCTCAGCCTCCTGAGTAGCTATGATTACAGGCATGAGCCACCAGTGCCTGGTACCATCTAATTCTTATTTGCTTCTAGAAGGCAGAAATGATGGCATACTGCTTCTCGTGAATCACCAAGATGGATAATCCAAATGACAGGGCAGGTCTTTGCCATGCCTCAAACCATTCATAGTTTTTAGGCTGTTCTTAGCCTCTTTGGTGAATTAACCCTTGATCTTTTCTTCTCTTGGCTCAGTAATCCACATTTCTCTCATCATAGGTTGCCATTCTCATCTCTTGTGCTCATTTTTCCCCCTAATACATTTGCAACTGCTCTGTATCACTTGGAAGAATGCAGGGTTTCAGAGCATGACAACACAAGAATAACACTGGTGGATTGCAGGCATGGTACATCGATGCTTCTAGTTTGTACATTTATACATTTAACATGGGGTGCTTTCTTCTTTTTTTCTAACAAAAACTATCATTTTACAGAAAATCCTCTCCTTAGAGCCTGAAGAACCTAGAAAATTAAACATTTGACTGAGTAGTCAGGTTGAAGATGGTCAAATGTACCTTCTTTTCTATTCCCTGTCTCATTTCTGTAACCTCATCTCTTACATTCTTTTTATCCTATTTCACTACTGGTAGTGATCGATGAAAATAATACTTAAGTGTTAATGCAAGACTTTTGGCTTGAGAACAATTAGTATAAATTTGGCCAGATTTTGAGGGGATTTGGTATTTTTGCCTACATTTCTTAATTTATACTCAGACTTTTGTGACTCACTGGCACCTAACATTTCAAAGAAAAATTTAGTATTTTAGGGGTGTCAATAAAGGAGAGAATTCTCCTGAGGCCGATTTGATTTTTTTAAGCCTCCTCTAATTTGTTCCAGCTTTAAAACTGTGAATAGTAACCTCATTAAACCCTTTCCCATAAACCTCCTTGCATAGCACATAAGCAGAAGGCTGCTTTGACCAGAGCCATTGCTTCTTGGGCCCCCACCCCACCCCTTCCCCCTTTATCTTCATGTTGGCAAACAAAACCTTGGCAAGAAGAGTGGTTATGGCGGTCTTGGACACATTTTGATGGCATGGTTTTAGTAAAGAGCCTTTTGATGGTTGACCTGTGTGAATTGTCTCATCACAGAAAAGAAAGAGGACCTCTTCACAGGACTGCTCGAATGGGAGGAAATCTGCTATTCTAAGCTAGGCAGGTTATAGGTTATAGGCTACCTAGCTTCTAGCAAAGTTTCATTCAGTGAGACTGCAAAGGTGAATCCAGCCATACCTCTCCTGGGCATCTACCCAGATCATTACATTGTGCAGCCATGTGCATTGCTGCACTATTCACAATAGCCAAGTTATGGGAACAGCCCAGATACCCTACAACAGATGAGTGAATTAATAACATGTGGCACATATACACAATGGAATTTTACTCATACATTAGAAAGAATAAGCTTATGTCATATGCAAGGGAATGGAATGGATGCTAAGTGAGGTAAGCCAAACGCAAAATTACCAATGGTGCCTGTTTTCTCTCATATGGAAGCTAGATCTAAAATACAACTGGACATGATAACCTTCTCAGGACTCCAGGCATTCCCACACAAACAGTTAGACAAAAGGAAGATACCCTTAGGAATACAAAGGTGTAACTTCTCTGAACATTTAAAATACTATTTATTAAATGAACGCTAGGAAATGGAAACATAGTTTTGGATGTTATTATTATTATTGTTGAAGGTGGTGTTTGTTTTTGCTTTGGGTTTTTTTCCTCTTCAGAAGGGGGAGGGGTTATAAAAGGAAGGTGTAGATACGGGGGAGAGAGTGAGGAAGGGTTAAGTGAATTTTCCTCTCCCTGTTTGCCAGTTTCTACAGCCTAAGGGATGACCACCTCATTTCTTACATCAGCATACATAAGACTCGGTGACAAATAACTCTGGAGTATGCTGAAGAAGGACACTTGAAAATTCCCCTCTAGTCAGAAATTCCCAGTCCTTATTCTACAAGTGCATGTTGCTGTCTTGAGATGTTGTTTGTGATGCACTCATTCAGTTTCTCCTTCAGTCCTGATCTCTGTCCATCCTTGGGCCCTCCCCAGAAGAATATATGGACACTACTACGCTCACTCATCACAGCTGGATTAATTAAGGCCTTTATAACTGACCTCATAGAGTTTCTTCTCCCTCTAGACCCATCTATGTTTCTACCGTTCGGCCACAGTCTAAACACATAGTTGTGATCCTGGACCATGGTGCTTCAGTCACAGACACCCAGCTCCAGATCGCCAAGGATGCTGCTCAGGTCATCCTCAGTGCCATCGATGAACATGATAAGGTAACGTTGTGCAAGTGACTCCTGTGCCATTGGTCCTCCTTGAATGGCTTTTTAAAGTTACTTCATTGTTTTATGACTTACAGTCATGAGCCTCATAGTGCTAAATCTCAGTCAATCATGTCCCACATATATACTGGTAGCCCAATAAAATTATTAAATATAGTAAACCATACCATATAAGGCTGTGTAAGTTGAGTATACTATTTACATAGGGTATGACAGGATGTATGTTGTTTATGCAAGTGCGAAATCTTCTAACAATGTATCTCTTTGGGCATAGCTCCATCTCATATGCACACACACACACAGATACACACCTGCACACGCATTTTATTAGACAAGGTCTCTCTATGTATATCAAGCTGGCCTTCAGCTCAAGGTGTGACCCAAGCTAGTCTTAAATTTACAGTAAGTCCCTCTGCCTCAGCTACACCATTGCACTTATTTCGTATCTTTTCTTAATCCAACCTTAAAATTGGGAGAAAAAGAGTAATTTCATTTTCATTCTAATATTTGGGAATCCAAATATTATTTGCCAATCCAAAAATCTCTTTCATAACCCCATCACCACCATAAACTATCTCATTTATACTTCCTGTTAGTGTTTTTATTTAGCAAGGACTTTGATATTGGAAGCTATGGAGGACAAAGCTGTGGGGATTTGGGTGTTGGGTGTGGGCTGACCTGGACAGGCATGTGTACAGTTAATGATAATCTATTGCCTGTGGACATTTCGATCTACAAAACTAACTCATCCAGCTGGGTACAGGTAGCTCACATCTGTAATCTTAGCTATTCAAGAGGCTAAGATCTGAGGATGATAGTTCATTGCCAGCCTAGGCATGAAAGTCTTAGACACTCTTATCTCCAATTAACCACCAAAAAGCCACAAGTGAAGCTGCAGGTCAAGTGGTTGAGAGCTAGCCTTGAGCACAAAAGCTCAGAGATTGAGGCCCTGAATTCAAGACCCAGGACCAGCAAAAACAAAACAAAGAACCCGAAAAAGTCAACTCCTGTATACTCAATCCCCACCTCCAGTTTGAAAAACCCATGTTTTTTCTCAGCATACGTGTTTTATAGTTTTATTGGTTTTGTTTTTATTTTGTGCCAGCTGAGGGGTTTGAACTGGGTATTGTCCTGGGTATTGTCCCTGAGAGCTCTTTTGCTCAAGACTAGCACTGTACCATTTGAGCCACAGCTCCACTTCCAGCTTTTGTGGGGAGCAGGAGGAGGGGGAAGACACGATTGGAGATAAAGATTCTCACAGACTTTTTTGCCTGGGACAGCTTTGTACCACAATCCTTCAGATCTCAGCCTCCCGAATAGCTAGGATTCCAGGCAGGAGCCAGTGGTACCTGGCTTGTAGCTTTCTTCATTTGGAGACAAAAATAAATCTTTTTGCTCCCTCTGTCTTACTCATTTCAAATTTGATAGACTTATGACTATAGTTCTTTATTTTTAAACTTAGTAACTGTTCTACAGGCCCTTAATTTCTGAATTTTTGTTTGAATCTTTTAAATTGTTGGATAATGCTTTAAAAAAATTTTTTTTGCCTTTTCCACTAGATTTCTGTGTTGACTGTAGCAGACACCGTCCGGACTTGCTCACTAGACCAGTGCTATAAGACCTTCCTGTCTCCCGCCACCAGTGAGACCAAAAGGAAGATGTCCACGTTCGTTAGCAGTGTCAAGTCTTCAGACAACCCTACTCAGCATGCAGTAGGATTTCAAAAGGCATTTCAGTTAATCAGAAACACAAACAATAACACAAGATTCCAAGCAAGTAGGTGCATTCTCTCCAAGGACTATTGGCCATAATTGATAGAAATGGCAATAGGATGGTGTTATGAATGTTTAGCGCTGTTTTCAGAGCTCATATTTTAAATTGACATGGAAACATCTTTCATGAATTATCTTTATGCTCATCTAATACTGAGCTCTCACTAGATATTTTCCAGTCAGAGATCATCAGTCTGTATATTATCTCTTGACTCCCAGAGCCTCTTCTTCTGGCTCCTTTATTAAGAACACATTCCCCGTTTGTTTCCCAAGAGTACACCCACATGCTTTCCATTGTTGCTTGTCAGCCTTTCTCCTGGACTTGGGCTGGTCCTTGCCTGTGCGCATGTACACATGTATTCTTCCCTTGATTCTTCCCTCTTCTAACCAGCTGTCATTTAGATGAGCATGGCCCTTTACATGTACAAAGGGACTCTAATTTAATTTCCATGTAGTAAGGAAAATCTGGAATTAGGATTCATGCTAAAGGAAAAGAAAGGATATTTGAAATGGGACTCTGCTTTGAAGTTACTAAAAAGAATGTTTGGTTTTCCCTTTAATATTTGAAAATCTGTAGCTTTTCTTCCCTCTTAATTTTTTGGAAAACATGAGTGGACTTTTTTTTTCTTTATTTTTATTTTTTGAGACACAGTCTTGCAATGTAACCTTACACTAGCCTTGTGGGCCTCCCTCCTCAGCCTCCCAAGTGCTAGGATTATGCACCAGCACACCAGGTAATGTATCTTCCTGAGATAGTGTGAGGAATACATTTTCAAGTTCTCTTGAGTATCTGAATTTAAAGCAAAACAGCGTTGACAAAGCAAAGCATGGTGTCTGACGTGATAAGCACTCTAAGTGACAGAAGTCACTATTATTATGGTAATTAATAATAGATAGCCTATGGGATTAAAATAGCATACATTTATTATCTCCCAGCTTCTCTGGGTCACTACAGGTTACCTGAGTCTCCTGTCTAGAGCTTTACAAGGCTGGAAACTCACAGTCAAACAGGGCTATGGAACTGAGGCTCCCAGTCCTTGTCTGAGCTCACCTGCTCACTGGCAGGGCCTGTTTCCTGGCAACTATAAACCTCATGTTTGTTTGCTTCCTTGAGCCCAGTAGGGGCACATGTCTTCTATTCAAGTCCCTGGCTTCAGGAAAGACTGGGTCTTTCTTTTAATATACTCATCTGATTCTGATTAGACCAGACCAGTCCTTTTAATTTTTTAAAAATCTTATCAAGGTATTTTCTCTTGTGATTAATTCAAAGTCAATTTAGTGGGACATTTATTTTTTAAATTTATTTTCCAATGATAAATGTTACTAGGGCACATTCTGTATTGTGTTTGTGTGTGTGTGTGTGTGTGTGTGTGTGTGTGTGTTTGTGTGTGTATGTTTCCGTTTGTGTGAGTGAATGAAACAAGCTATATTCTAATGTTGGGGGGGTTTTGTAAAGGTAATGTACAGAGGGGTTGCAGTTATATAAGTCACGTATTGAGTACATTTCTTGTTGAACAGTGTCCCCTCTTCCCTCATTTTCTCCTACTTTTCCCTCCCAGCTCCTCCCTTGACAAATTATATAGTTAATTTGCCACATAGTGTGTAGTGAGTATTGCTGCTGAATTAGTTCACCCTTTCTCCTGCCATTTCTGTGCTTTTCCTTACACTTCTCAAATCAGAGGAGGTTTTGTGTGTGTGTGTTTTTCTTTGATTTCTTCTGTTTTTCCCCTTTTGTCTCTTTTTCATTTCTGTACCTTTTGTCTTGTATGTAGTGTACCAGACTTGGGGAACATAATTTGTCCTTCTCTGCCAATACATGGCACAATGGAGTGAAAACCCATCACCATTGCTATATTCCATTGGTTCGAAGCAACTATACAACGTATAGTGCAGGCCCAAGCAAACCATACGATGCATAGCCTGTGGATCCTGTGAACCATCTTAAGTTTTCCCTGCTGGTATTGTCAAGTACCAGCTATCCATGAACCAGTATTACCTGGTGAGGGTATTACCTGCCTACAATTCAGTTCAATTGCTGGACCCATGGGATTGGTGGCAAATTGACTCAATTTGTCAATGTCAGCCACTGAAAGTGTTCTTTCTACTTGATACTTCTGTTTTGAACCATCATTAGTACTGAGTTTGATTATTGTACAATTTAAAGAATGGAAAGAAATGTTAGATTAACACTTGAAAACCCAGATGCCTATGGTAGTCGGACAGTGAATGTGGGTCAAGCAAGTGGAGATTCAATCATGAGGACCATTTCAAGAGCATAGTTAGCTAGAAGGGTGTGCATTCCACCACAGGGCGACTGCTCTTCCATCACAAGAGTGCCTGCCCAGGGTTGCTTCATCTTCTGGCTCAAGCCAGAAATCTGGACTTTTTCATGGAAATTCAATTGATGTCCAAGTGTTGGCATTTATTACAGCTTTAAAACTATGAACAGAGGCCTTATTAAACCTCTTTTCTCATACTTTCTTGTAACTCATAGAAGCAGGAGCTTGGACTGATAGGAGACATATCTCCTCTGGGGTGTTTGGTATTTGTTTTGTTTATGTTGGCAAGCAAAAACATGGCAAAATGACCAACCGTCAAAGACTTTGACAATTTTTAATGGCACAGGTTCTAAAATATTCGAGAGAAGCCTCTTTTTTTTAGGCCAAGTAAGATGTTTTTAAGGTTTAGCTCACCATCCTCCAGTTTATAGCTTGTAGTGACAGTTCAAAGAAAAAAAGGAAGCCAAATTTGTTTATATAAAGAAATGATTCCAGGATTTGCATTGTCCTCTTCATTTAGGAGAAGTTTTAGACTGTTTTCAAGCATTAGAGCCTTAGTGCTTAAGAATGTGGCTTTTGAATTTCAACCAATATTCTACTCTGAAACTTTCTGATCTTGTTATCTTCAGCAATTATTTGACTTCTTCAGGTCTCATCTGTAAGCTGGCAGTTAATAACTAGACCCAGTTTCCACCATGAGTTTTTGGTAACATTAGCTGTAACTATTATTCTATTTCCTCTAAGACTTCTTGCTCCAGTCAAGGTAAGGTGGATTTCCTAAGCTTTTTACTCAAGCCCCATGATGACTAAAGGCCACCAGTAGGCTCAGTAAGGGCCAAGTGGGGATGAATGAATATATTTTTTTTCTAGTTCACACTGTGCATCACTACTTGTGTTGACTCCATGGACAGTCAGGTAGAATCCTACTGTTGGTCTGGTGCATCTTTAAGGCGCCTGGGGATAAAGGTACTTTATTGAGTAATACTTGTCCTATGGGATTGTTGTAAGGATTGGCCTGCTCATAATTGTGAAGCATCTGCCCACAGTAGTGGCCAGAGAAACAGAAGCTACATGCCATAAATTTTTGTAGTTCTGCATAATCTGATTTGTACCAAGGAGAACATCTAAAAATCTTATGCAGTGCAAACTCTTTGTTTGTGTATGTGCATTTTCTTTTATTTATTTTTTCACTTTTAAAAATCACCTTTAAGTAGTTATACAAAAGGATTTCAGTTCAACACAGCAGTTTATGAGTGCACTGCATCTTGAATGTTATCACTCCTTACATCATTGCACGGGAGGCTCTTTCTTAATGCTGTGGTAGGTCCAAAATGATATTATTTACACTTTTAGGTATTTTTTCTTTTGAGTTTTTTTTGGGGGCGGGGGTGGGGGGAGTAGGGGTAGGGGTGGCTGAAGGATCATTTTATAGCAGAAGGAGTAAGCTGGTTATATTGAGGGTTGTTACACAGGCTAGGCTCAAATTTTAATTGCTTTCTCCCTGCTATATTGACTCCAAGACATGCTTGTGACTTAGCAACCTTCCCTCCCCCAGTAGTCTGTTGTATTTTCTTCTGGTTCCATGCTATGTCATTTCCCCAAATCCCTATAATCATCCTTAACATTACTAGTTAGAAGGATTTGAGTGACAAGGAAGAGAATATTCTGATAAGTAAGATAATAAAAAGCAGATTGGATTTGATGGACTTGATTATTGTGAATGGAAAAATAACCCTATTTTGCTTGATGATTAAGTAATAATGGAGTCTGCATCTGGGCAGAGCTAGTGAGGCTGTGTCTTATTATTTTTGGATGGAAAGAAAATGTACTTGAGTGCTAGAGGGCCCTGAGGGCCACAGGCTTCTCGTTCTCTAATTATATCCCTGTGTCCTAAAAGTAGCTTTGGGTAACAGCCTATTCTGTCGTGAAAAATATCCCTGAAAGCTGGCTGTGGTGGCTCACACCTGTAAACCTACTTACTCAGGAAGTTGAAACCTGGAGGGTCAAAGTTCAAAGCCAAAGTCCATGGCAGTATGGTTCAAGTAGTATAGTGCAAGCCCAACATAAGCCAAACAAACTCAAGACCCTGATTTCTTTTTGTTTGGATGGTTGTTTTGGCTGGTCCTGAGGCTTGAATTCAGGGCCTAGCATTATCCCTGCGCTCTTTTGCTCAAGCCTAGTCCTCTACCACTTTGAGCCACAGCACCACTTTGGATTTTCTGGTGGTTAATTGGAGATAAGAGTCTCACAGACTTTCCTGCTGGGACTGGCTTTAAATTATGATCCTCAAATCTCAGACTCTTTAGTAACTAGGATTATAGGCATGAACTACCACCAATACCCTGATTTCAAACCCTGATACCAGCCCTCCTCCCATAAAAAAATTGAGTTTAAGCCTTGCTTCTATATCCCATGCTAGTAATAAATAAGGGAATTTTAAATCCAGTTTTTCAGTCAAATTTTTAACTTAGTTCAATTGTCTAGACCTGAGAATATTAACCTTAATTATAAAATTCTACATAATAAGGAATATTCAGAATCTAAAGTAGAAATTTGTAAGCCCAAGGAAATTCTAGCCTTGTGTCTTCATTGGTGGGATAACTTTAGGGGCAACTCTAGTTGTTATGATTGGCTGTGTAACAAATTACCCCAGTACTGAATGACTTAAACTATAAACTTTTATTGTTTGATGGTCTGTATGACAGGAATCTAGGCACGCCATCACTGGGTGCCTCTGGTTCAAGGTCTTTAATATGACTGCCTAGTTTAATAACTGTTACCATCATGTCAGAGTTCAATTGGAAAAGAATAAGCTTCCAAAGTCACTCACTGCCTGCAGGATGATCAAATCTGAGGGCCTTGTTGCTCACTTATTCTTAGGACGGATCACAGAGTGAGACAGCGCCATAGCAGAAGCTGGTGTCTTCTTATAACTTTCTTTGTCACCTAACCTTGGGCTCTACACCTCACCCTCTTGGATACAGTCTGTTCTCTAAGCGGTCACTGAGTCCAGCCCACCCTCAGAGGGAAGCAGTGACCCAAGGATGGGTAGAGCAGGAAGAGGGCTTCATAGAGTGCTCGCCATGCTCACTGTGAAGAAACCTTAGTCAGATGACTGCCATAGGAACCTGTGGAAATAACACACAAATGTTTACTTTTCCATAAAAGGATAAGCTTCTTTGCAGGATGTCCTAAAAATATCTGTTGACTCTGAGAACCTCAGATTAGAAAGAAAGGTAAAAGTCCAGTTCTCTTCCTTCCCTGCTTTATAGTAAAGTGGCTGTCCAGCCTCCACTCGTTATCTGCAGCAAGAGGAAGTTTGTCTGCCCATTTTGAGTCAGTCCTCTGGACAGAAGTTATTCCCCTTGAGCTAAAATTGCCTCCATTTCTCTGCTCATTACCCTGATTTGGAGAATTTTAATCTCAAATCATAGATTTCTGCAGAGTAATAGTAGGTGTGTGAGTGGGGTGGGTTGGAGGGAGTTGCAGTTAGTGAAGTTTCTTTCTCTTTTAATTCTCTCATGCTAGAATCCTCTTGCTTGTAAATGACCCAGCCAGACCTCACACCTAACCCTGGGAGGTCCACCTTATCATTATACCATTTTATGGACAAGAAAATAGACATGTAGAGAGGTGTCTAAATGCCCCACACTGTATGGAAATTACAGAGCTGAATTTTGAGCACTGGCTCCCATGTCCATGTTTTTGCAATTTCTACTGCATTGATGCATGTTCAGAATAAAAATGTACCTGGACATTGTGTAGGGAAAATAACCTTACATATCTGAAGAGCCAATGGAAGAATCTCCATTCTCAAGTCTTCCACCCACCCCTAACAGTGTGGCTTGTGCTGATGGCCTTGAGTCACTGATGAAAGGCAATTCATCTTCTGAATCGTCTATCTCAGAAGGCGGGGGAGGAAGTCCAAAAGGGTCTAGCATTATTTCACACAGCCATGAGAGCTTGAAGGAAATCATATTCCTTTATATAGTATATGCACCCGCAGCATCCCTACCTGGGTTGAGGCCTAGTGGTCCAGATAGGGCAGGATGCCAGAGAGGCAGAGGCAGGAAGATGAAAGACAACAAATCATGTGGACAGGCAGGACCCTTGTGCTCACAGGGTCATGGTGGGGGGGGGGGCATCCAAGGGAACCCAAAAGAAACTACACAGCTGCCTCCAGCCAGAATCCAAGTATAACCTCAATTTGTATGTTTTTGTTTAGATACAGACATGGTCATCATTTACCTGTCAGCTGGCATTACATCAAAGGACTCTTCCGAAGAAGATAAAAAGGCAACTCTTCGTGTCATCAATGAAGAAAATAGCTTTCTGAACAACTCCGTAATGATTCTCACCTATGCCCTCATGAACGGTAGGCAGTGTTTCCAGATTTTTCTTTCAGATGAAAGTTCTCTCTAAACAGATGCTGCTGAGAGAGAGAGAGAGAGAGACTCAATGACAGCATTCTTTGATGAAGGCTGTTGAAATAAGCCACCAAACAGCTCCTTCTCTACCTAATGCTGGTATTAAAGCAGGTCAGCACGCTCCATTCTGCATCTCTCATTTTTCCTAAATCTCCATTTCTATATCCTCCAGAGGATTTTGTATGGCTGTCTGTCCCCACAACCCCCAGTTTCCTTGTTATTCAAGGTTATCTGAGATTCTCACACTAAGGGGCTAAGTTACTTCCCTTGTGGATTTCAGGGGCAGAAGGCAAGTGCTTGTTTTCTGTCACCATGTTGTCCCACAGCATCAACACCAGCCTCCTTAGCATTCAAATGCAGATAAAAGTGACTGACTTTGCTGAGTGTGGTGGTGCCCACTGGGGAAGCATGGAAAAACCTGAGGTAAAGGGGTAGCAAGTTTGAGGCCAGCCTGTGCTCTTTTAAGAACCTGTCTCAAAAAACAGGGAAACATTTTTTAAAAAAGAAGAAAACAAAACCCTATGCTTTGCAAGATCATCCTTAAAATATTTGGACCAGCACTTGATGCTTGTTAGGTTTTTGATAAAACGATTGTGTGGTCGCTTACTATTAGTGTGTTGAAAGGATTTAGCAAATGGCCAAATTTGAGGAGATACCCCATTTTCCCCCCACCATCTTCTAGTGTCTGCACCTGTGAGCTATGTGCTGTTTCCCTTCTTGCTCATGCGTGGTTTGTCTTCCTCACCATCTTTTTCCTTAGGCCTCTCACTGATCAAGACAGCCAGCATCCATGTTTCAGAGGCCAAGTCTTGATCCTACAGTCTTCTATTTCTCTCCACACTTCCAAATTTCCATGCAGAACCATGTGGCTTTAGGGACAGTGGTTTCATTTTAATAGGTTAAGAGTTATTGAGGAAATGCTGCTGAAATGCAAATTCCTAGGCACTGTCCTCAGATTTCTTTTTCAGACCCTATTCAGAAGGGGTCCACACATCTATGTTTTCATAAAAATGATTCTTCTGTTTCTTAAAGACCACATCTGAAGGAGGCCAGGCTCTGTTGGTCTATCCTCTGTACTTGTAGTGTGCATTTACTACTGGCAGGCAAGTTACTTAAGCCTCCCTCCTTCCTTCCCTCCCTCCCTCCAACTTTCTCTCTCTGTCTCTCTGTCTCTGTCTGTCCGTCTGTCTGTCTCTCTCTCTCTCTCTCTCTTTCTCTCTCTCTCTCTCATTTTATCTTTCCTTTTTGAGATAGGTTCTTAGCATGTAGTTCAGGCTACTCTACTAGAACTTATGTCACCCAGACTAGCCTCAAACTCATGATCCTCCTACATCAGCTTCCCAAGTGCTGGGATTATAGGCATGCACCATCACACTTTTAGCTTCAATTTTACCTATGAAATAAAAATCATAAAATCTGCTACATAGGAATGTTATCAACACAAATAAACAAAATATCATGTGATATGCCAGAACCTGGCAAATGGGTTCACAAAGCCTAAAAGGAGTAGTGGAAGATATTGTAGTTTCTTGTCACAGAAAGTTTAGCTAGAGTGCTCATTTACCACTGCATCCCCAACTGCCCTGCCTCCTTTCCCTGTACTGCAGTGGGATACTCACGTAGTGCCCTCTCTTCCCTGTGAATCCACTTGGTCCAGGAATGTGAGCTTCACAGGAAAGTACTCTGAGCCCTCAGCATGGGGACAGAGCACAGCTGGAATGGGGGGGAATTCACTCTTTGTGCCTGGGCACATATTCTGTACGGTCATCTGTGGTTGTCTTCTTTTCCCATGGTTTAACATCTTTTACTCATGACAGGAAAGAAAGTAGGAATGTAAAATCCCATGAGCACCTGCAATGTCAAGCACGTATAAGAGCGTCCTTGTCTTCCTTACTAACTAGTGAGGAAGGCTTGATGGATGAGGCAAATGAATTAAACGCAGTAGAGGAGCGAGAAGACCAAAGATCAGCTCTCGTGTGTGGCAGATATAAAGCCTCCTTGCTTCATCCATCCATCATGGTGCTAAACCCTCCCACATTTCCAGAGTCCTGATAATTCCACATTTTAAAAACTCTAGTTATACTGGGTGCCAGTGCTTCATGCCTATAATCCTAGCAACTCAGGAGGCTGACATCTGAAGATCATAGTTCAAAGCCAGCACAGCCAGGAAAGTATGTGAGACTCTCATCTCCAATTAACTACCAAAAAGCTAGAAGTGGCTTTTGAGCACAAACAATCAGGGACAGGGCCTAGGCCCTGAGTTCAAGCCCCAGGACTGGCGCACGCACGCGCACACACACACAAACACACACACACACACACATACACACACAAAACTTCTGGTTAGTTCATCTTTTTCTCTTTTTCATTAAACATATCTGCACTGCCAATTTCCTCTCTTTCCTTTCTTTCCCTCTCAGAATGGCTCAGTGCTGAGCTGGGTGCTGGTGGCTCACACCTGTAATCTAAGCTACTCAGGAAGCTGAGATCTGAGGATCGCGGTTCAAAGCCAGCCAGGGCAGGAAAATCCGTGAGACTCTTATCTCTAGTAAACCACCAGAAAACCAGAAGTGGCGTTGTGGCTCAGTGGTAGAGCACTCGCCTTGAGCTAAAGAGCTGAGGGACAGTGCCCAGGCCCAGAGTTCAAGCCCGACAAAAAAAAAGTTCACAACCAACCAAAAATAAAAGAATGGCTCAGTGCCATTCGCCAAAGCAGACACATTCCTTTACCGGCTCTATCAGGGTTTAACTACTGTGAGAATTTGAGAAGAAAGAATTTATTGCCGGTCACAGTGACTCATGCCTGTAATCCTAGCTATATGGCTAGCTAAGATTGAGAGTATTGCCATTTGAGGTCAGCTCAAGCAAAAAAGTCGATTCCTTTCTAACCAATAATTGTTCCTATCATCTTAGCTACATGGAAAGCAGATGGCAGGGGTTGGAGGCAGGTATCATGGTTCCAAGCCATTCCAGGAAAGAAGAGATCATAGGATCTCTTCTCAATAGAAGAAGCTGGGTAAGATGGTATATTCCTGACTTCCTAACCGCATACTATAGGAGGATCATGGGTCCAGCTTCAAGCCTGAGCAGGAAGTGAGACACTAGCTCACAAATGAACACAAGAAAGGGTTGGAGGCCCAGTTCAGTAGAAAGTGGAGGAAGATTAGAAAAGGGAAGATCCAAAGAAGAGTTGATAACTTGGAGATTTCAGAGAAACCTGTAAGTGCTGATGTTTAAAGACCACGTAGGAGGCCTTTTGTGGAAGGCTCTGAAGGGCTATTGGCTTTTCATGGCTGCTGGTCCTGTATGTGTTCTGAATAAAATATCTAGAGCAAGCTTGCTGTTGATGAGCAAGCCAGTGGTTGAGAAATAGAATTTCACTTAGATCAAACAACAGTGGGACAAGCTGGAACATTCTGGAGCCTCTGTGTCTGTCTCTCCCTATCCCTTGCTTCATTTCCCAAGCCTTGCAATACTTGACATTTGGCATCTTTAACTTGGAAGCACACAGCAAGGAGGAATCTGAGCAGTGTGGCTTCTAGCATGGTGGTAAACAACCCAGCAAATTTACCATTATACTGACCCTAATGCCACCCCTTCCTTAACAATTCATGCTACGGTGAGCTATACTCGAGACTTGATAACCTTCCACCCACTCACTGCTCTATTTTGTCCAAAAGCGAGTCTTGGTTCTTATATTTTGAGAGTGCCAAGACATACAGAAGAAGGGAAATGTATTTATTGCCTGAGTTGTCACCCTATATTATTTTGCCTCCATAAGCTTCTCGTGTGTATCAGGTCATAGATGAGTCATGTCTTTTGTGTTGTGTTTAATTCTGGAGTAGACCTCTTAACCTCCATGTCTTAGCTGCATGCCAAGCAAAGGGAAGACTAATTTGATTCTGACTTAATCTGGCCCAAGTATTTTTTTTCTTGCTTTCCTGTAATATTGCAGGAGAGGAGTAAAAGAAAGTTTATCAGTTAGGTCTGCTACTACTGATAGATAGACTTCTTGATGCTAGAAATATATGCACTCCAAATGGTAGCTAAACCATGAAAGCCTCAATCTGGTGGGTTTTTTTGTTGTTGTTGTTGTTGTTGTTTGGATTTTTGTTTTGTTTTGTTTTGGTGCTAGTTCTAAGGCTTTAACTCAGGGCCAGGGTACAATCCCTTAGCTTTTTAAATCAACACCAGTGCTCTACCACTTGAGCCATAGCTCTACTTCTAGCTTTTTTCTAGGGCTTTAACTCAGGGCCAGGGTATAATCCCTTAGCTTTTTAAATCAACACTAGTGCTCTACCACTTGAGCCATAGCTCCACTTCTAGCTTTTTTTGGTGGTTAATTGGAGATAAGAATCTCCAGGTTTGTTTGCCCGGGTTGGCTTTGATCTGTAATCCTCAGATCTCAGCCAGTCCTCAGACTAGTTAGGATTAGAGGTATAAGCCAATGGTGCCCAGCTACATCAGGTATTTGTTTTTTAAGCAATGGTTTGCTATTAAAATCCTAAAGAATTGAAGTAAAAATCCTCAAGAATATGAAATAAAAACAGGGTAGATTCTCAGTGATGACTGAAATCATCTGAATTTGTTTACAGTGGTACCCATATGCGACCAGTTACTAATCCTTTTGACTATGTGCCAACAATAGCAGGCTTTAAAAAAAAAGTTTATTAAATTTATATTGCACTATAGATTACAGATGCTGGAGAACAATACATCCCACTATGCTTAAATCTTGTACAAAGTTTGCAAAACACTCTAATGTAAAAAGTATACATTAAATAAATCAAATCCAGTATTATCTTAACTGTATCAAGCATGAAAGCATTTATAATTAAAATGTACAGGGTTTAGAGACATCACTAAATGCAATCTATAATTCTTTCATTTAGTTTCATGAGATTTTTGGCAAGTGGTTTTATAAGTGAAAAAGTAAGGAATGAAATGATCAAGTTTTATCCTTTAAAACTTAAAATTACATCTCCTTTAAATTAAATGCAGGCTTTTTAAACCATTAGTTTGGCTTTCAAATATTAAATGCAGCAAAGGAATTTAAATCTTGTAATTAAACATTTTGGGGCAAATACATCCTTATAAATGAGTCTACCTTTACTCTTTGTTTTTCATTTCCACTGCTGTATATATATGTGTAGATGTGCACATGTGCATGCCCATATTTGGGGTTGAACTCAGAGCCTCTGTGGAGTTCCTGAGCTTTTTTCGCTCAAGGTTCGTGCTCTGCTGCTTGAGCCACAGCTCTGCTTCTGGCTCAATTGGAAATAAGAGTCTTGTAGACTCTCTTGCCCAGGCTGGGTTTGAACTGTGATCTCAGATCTCAGCTTCCTGAGTAGTTAGGATTACAGACATGAGTCACCCACGCCCAACTGGCATTCCTCTTGCCTTTTGAAGCATTCCCCTGCCCTCTTGAGTAGATAAAGAAAGACTGTGTCTCCGACTTGTCATCTTCTCTAGGAACTGGTATATGAGTCCATATCATTCCTGTAAAGACCTCTAGGGCATAGCAAGACCTTAACCTTGTCCATAATAAAAGTAAATGTTAAGATGCTACATGGATATAACCACTTTGCCTTTCATGTTTTCCCCTTGACTTTGATTCTAGATGGAGTGACTGGTCTGAAAGAGCTGGCTTTTCTGAGGGACTTGGCTGAACAAAACTCTGGGAAGTACGGTGTGCCAGACAGGACAACCTTGCCCGTGATTAAGGGCAGCATGATGGTGCTAAACCAGCTGAGCAACCTGGAGACCACAGTCGGCAGGTTCTATACAAACCTTCCCAACCGGATGATTGATGAGGCTGTCTTTAGCCTCCCCTTCTCTGATGAGATGGGAGATGGTAAGTTTGGAGAAATTTTATATGGGGGGGGGGGGTAATCAACAGATAGAATAGAAACAGATACTACTTGTTCTAGAGCTTAGGGTTATAGAGCCACTGCCATCTAACCTGTACATTGTATTCAGCAGCAGAAATCCCTATCCTGTTTTATCCTATTGCTCCAGCCTCAGTAGACCAAATGATGTATTTTCTAATGAGCTTCATAAAGATGTTCCAGTTTCCAGATTTAGCCAATTGGAACTAAATAGCTAAATAAATAACTAAGCTAATTTAGCTAATAAATAATCTAAATAACTAAATAGGGTAGCTTTGTATCTCAAGTCATAAAAATGAAGATCAGAGGTGTTTCTGGTTTAGCCTAAAATGCAGGCCATACTCAAATTGGTTTGTCATCAGATAAACTCTCAAATTCCATTTTTCCTCTTAAATTATTGTCCTAGATGGCTTATTTAATCTTGTTAATTCCCCATTTGGTCCTCTGCTAAATGAGGTAATACTTTAAATTTTTTAATATTAATTCAGAGATAGATAACCATTTACAAGTAACCAGCAGGCCATCCAATAATTACTGTTCTTATTTAATAGCTTTTTACTATCATCATCATAATTCTATCATTCTCATGGCTTAAAAAAAATGTGAAAGAGGGGCTGGGAAGGTGGCTCAGTGGTAGAGTGTTTGCTTTGCATGCCTGAGGTCCTGGGTTCAATTCCTCAGCATCACATAAGCAGAAAAAGCGAGAAGTGACTCTGTGGCTCAAGTAGTAGAGCACTAGCCTTGAGCTGAAGAGCTGAGGGACAGTGCCCAGGCCCAAAGTTCAGGCCCGACGACCAACTGAAAAAAACAAAAAAAGTGAAAGAAGGAACCAACCAACTGAAAAAAACAAAAAAAGTGAAAGAAGGAACCAGCGGGTCACGCCTGTAATCCTAGCTACTCACGAGGCTGAGATCTGAGGATCACAGGTCAAAGCCAGTCTGGGTAGGGAACTCTGTGAGACTCTTTTCTCCAATTAACCATCAGAAAACCACAAGTGGTACTGTGGCTCAAAGTGATAGAGCGCTAGCCATGACCCCACCCCTCCCCACCCCCAGAAAAAAAAAATTGAAAGAGCTGGGCACTGGTGGTTCATGCCTATAATCCTAGCTACTCAGAAGGCTGACATTTTCAGATTGCTATTTGAGGCCAGCCATCCCAGGCAGGAAAGTCTATGAGACTCTTATCTCTAATTAACCCCTACCCTTACACCCTCCCTAAAAAAAAAAAAAAAAAAAGCTGGAATTGGAGCTATGGCTCAAGTTATAGAAGAGCACCAGCCTTGAGTAAAATAGCTTAGGGACAGTGCCCAAACCCTGAGTTGAAGCCCTAGGGAGGACCAGCGATAGAGAGAGAGAGAAAGAAAGAGAGAGAGAGAAAAAAATATATATATGTATGTATGTATATCCCTTAAAGCAATTATGAAAATTAAATGCAAAAACATATGTGACTATCTAGAAATTTGCCTGGCCCACATTACATTCTTAGTAAAAATATATCTAAAAATTTTTTTATATCCTTACATAGTTTTTTCCTTACATACTCAACACTGAAGGTCAAAGAGGCAGCTGATTACTAGTCAGATGTATGTCATCAGGATCTGAAATCTTATTTTTATGGTCCGTTAACTAGGAACTCTCAAAAGTAAGGATATTCAAAGAAATTTCACTCACAATAATTACCAAGCCTAAGAGGAGGGCTTGATAAAGAGCAATTGCCTAGGAGGCATGAAGCCCTGAGTTCCAAAAAATAAGAGAGAAAGAAAAAGAAAAAATTAACAAGCCTATGGAGAACATGTTTTTTTAGGAAGAGGTAAACATTCTTTTTAAAAGAAGAAATAGGATTAGAGACTAAGTCAATCAGTTGAGCACCTGCCTAGCAAGCACAGAGCCTAAGTTCAAACTTTAGTATTACCCAAAAAAAGAACAAGAAACATAATAACTGCTATTACTCTTTCATTTCTATTACTCCTTACCTTTCTGACAGGGTCCACAGATATGTATAGTACCTTTATAGTAACAATATCACATCTTAAATGCATGTGCCAATGCATTTATGCATTTGCCAATACTACCAGGTTCCAGTCAAACATTGTACCAGTCAGTGATGGGGAAGGCACACACCCCCTTCATAAGAGAAAGATCATGAAATCCTGCTAATACTGTGGTAAAGGAACAGACAGATAAAAAAAACTAGTCCTGTAGAAACTCAAGAGGACTGAGCAGGCTAGTTCTGTTTCCAGTAGTATTTGGAAGGATGGAACTCTTCTCGATTTTACCTCTACAACCCAGAGAACCACCTGAGTGCTTTAAACTACATCTGTATGAAGCTTTAGTCAACAGGTGATGACTGATTCTATCCAAATTGTAATCTTCAGGGCCTATTTTGTGAATCTTGTACAGTGGGCTCCAGTCATTGGTTTGCAGATCTTGAATACCCCTATTTGAATATATATTTTTATCTTGAGTTTTCCATCCCTAGACTTATTATTGAGTGATACAGAACTTCAGGATAAGGAAACTTGTATTCACATGGCTCTGTTTTGAAACCACCCCACATTAACAGTAACTGAACATAACATTTCTTTTACAAAACCAACTCAATGTACTTTCAGTTAAGGTAGAGAGATGGTTTGAAGATTTTGTCTATGTGGCTAGAATTACCATATTTTGTCACCTTGGGATCAAGAGTGTTCTGTACAAATTGATCATTGAAAAGTGAGATTGGGTTTCTTTCTTAAGGCATTGTTACATATCCAATAGAGAAAGAAATGTGCAGTGATCATACATCTCAGTCATGGAGTCTCTCTGTTCTGCATTGCTGAACTGTACAAATAGCTTTAATCTCAGACTAAAGTCCAGGGAATTGTGGTGTGTGTTTTGGGACCTCTGTCTCCATGCTGGCCTTTACAGAAATGTCCCTGCCTCTTTAGAACTCATATTGAACAAAATTCTGCAAAATACGTACTTAAGACTTTCTTAAATATCTATTGTTTTCAACTGTTTTAAAACAAATAGCAAGAAAGTATTGTAAAAGTGAACTGCTTTTGAATTAGAAGAAATGACTCTTGCATGACTTTTCCTAACTGTTTTCATTGTCATGTCCACTGCCTCCTGTTAGATGGTGTATTTGCTTGGTCCTTGTGACCACAGCAACTGAGTAACACCTGGAATGGACATCATGTATGATTCTGTGGAAGCCCATGCTTTGTCGATGTCTTTAGAGTGTTCAGCTCCCTTTCCTGGGTGTTGGAGAAGAAAGATTTTCTAACATGTAACTAAAGTTTGTACCTGTCACCAAGTACAGAAAAGTACCAGAGCAAGATGGAGGGGAGAGCTCCATCTTGGTGTTTAGAGTCTTACGTAAAAGCCATGGGATGGTAACATTGTTAGGGACTGCAGAATTGGCTTTGTCTCAGCTCAACATCAAACACACAAAATGCCTGGATCATTAAGGTTGTACAACTTTTTCAGCTCTCTAGAGGCACCAGGAAATGCGCCCAGGAGCAGAGGCTCAGAGTTGTGTCTTCCCCTGCTTTCCACCATGTCTTCCTGCACATTTTTCAAGTGCTCAGGGTGTGTGTGTGGGGGGGGGGGTGTGCACCTAAGGCTGGATGGCCAACAAAGCCTGAAATGCTTACTGAGTGTTTACTGGTCCTTTATAAGCAAGTGTGGACTCCTGGCCTAAGTAACTGAAAATACATTCCTTTGGAAACTCCGTTACTCAAAATTTTGTATGGTCAGATTCTGTACCTTTCTAAGGTTCTTTTTTTCCCCCCCTCTCTTTTCCCACTTTTTGAAAGAACTATAATATCAGTATCTTTTTTTTAATGGTACTTGAATTTGAACTTGAATTCTCTGCCTTCCTAGATTGGCACTCAAACCACTGAGCTACAACTCTAACCCAATAGCTATACCCTTGAAGAATTCCTGTATTTGCTATCTGTTTTAACCAAGCACTCCCTAGAAATCAGTAAGACATTTGCCACTGTGTCTTTATTTTATTTTATTTTGTCCCAGTCCTGAGGCTTAAACTCAAGGCCTGAGCTTTTTTTTTCTCAAGGCTAATGCTCTACCCCTTGACCCACAGCTCTGATCTGGCTTTTTAGTGGTTAATTGGAGATAGAGGGTCTCATAGACCTTCCTGCCCAGGCTGGCTTCAAACCATGATCCTCAGATCTTAACTTCCTGAGTAGCTAAGATTATAGGCGTGAGTCACAGGTACCTAGCATCTTTTTGACAGACTTGTAAATCAACACACAGGGAAACATGCGCATTGTCATGCATGGAATATAAAAAAGGTTCAGTTGGACTAGAACCTATATTTTTAGAGTATTTGTCCAATGCTTTTTCAAGTCCAGCTGGATTTCCCCATTTGAAGATAGAATGCTTCTGTTTTGTCCTAATCTGGAATGGTGTGGCAGAGAACATACAAGTGTTCTTCATTTAAATGAACTACAGTCAGAACTGCCTATGGACTTTCTCTCCCTCTTACTATATTGTCTGCTTACTAGATCACACAGAAAACTTTTCTCCTGAGCACAACCACGAAGGCAGACGGTCTTCAGGACTCAGTAGAGATTATCTCCAGTCTCTCTCCAGAGCCTTAGATTCTTTCTGTTTTTAACCCATAGGTTTAATCATGACTGTGAGTAAGCCCTGTTATTTTGGAAACCTACTCTTGGGAATTGTAGGTGTGGACGTGAATCTGGCTTATATTCTTGAAGACGTGACATATTACCAAGATTCTTTGGCTTCCTACACTTTTCTCATCGATGACAAAGGTAAGTTACTCAAAGTTCATCATAGGAAAGAATTTTCTGTTTTTTAATCAGCCTAACGAAAAGGTGGTATAAAAAAAGTACTTTTTTTTTTTTTAAAAAGCAGTATGATTTAGGACTTCCCATTGGTAGGAAAACAAAGATAGTTGAGTGAATCTACAAATTATGCACAGCCTGCCTCTGTTGAGCTGTGGAGTGGTAATGTGTTATCATAATGATATCAGGAAGACTTAGAATTAAATAACACATAAATGTAATTCTTTAGGTCATATTTTTTTAAAATCTTTAGATTTACTCTCATTAAGATTTGTGTAGTAGGTGGGAAGGTGGCTCAGTGGTAGAGCGCTTGCCTTGCATGCCTGAGGCCCTGGGTTTGATTCCTCAGCACCACATAAGCAAAAAGAAAAAAAAAGCCGGAAGTGGCACTGTGGCTCAAGTGGTAGAGTGCTAGCCTTGAGCTGAAGAGTGAGGGACAGCGCCCAGGCCCAGAGTTCAGGCCCCATGACCGGACCCCAAAAAAAAAAAAGATTTGTGTAGTAGAACATATAGTAACATAAAAAAAAATAACAAATACCACCACAATAACCTTCATGACACGGATATGGAATGATTTAAGACCTCTTTCTATACTTCACTGGTTTTCTGCAAGTACACATAAAACAGGCTCAGCTTTTATTGGACTAGTGAGGTACATACTGAGAAAATGAGGACAGGGCAGCTATCCCAGACAATCCCACATTTCAAACCAGTGGTAGGCATTTTGGTTAGCACCAGTATTCCCTGCCACCTGCTTCTTACAGTATGCGTTTTTACTTTCTAATTTCAGGGTATACACTTATGCATCCATCCCTTACAAGACCATACTTGTTATCAGAACCCCCGCTTCATACTGACATCATACATTATGAAAATATCCCCAAATTTGAATTGGTTCGACAAAATATCCTAAGGTAAGGAAAAGATAAGGGACATAGTATTTCTTTTTTTTTTCTGAGAATGGGACCTATCATAGCTAAGTGTTACTACACAGCATAAGACAAATGTATAAATTATATTTATTGCTATCAAAAGTAGCCTAAAGCCATGCACCAGTAGTAACTCCTATAATCTTAGCTACTCAAGAGACTGAAATCTGAGGATTGTGGTTTGAAGCCAGCCTGAGCAGAAAAGTCTGTGAACTCTTATCAACTTAACCACCAAAAAGGCAAAAGTAGATCTGTGGCTCAAATGGTAGAGCTCTAGCCTTAAGTGGAAAAATTAAGGGACAGCACCCAGGCCTTGAGTTCAAATTCCACTATTGGGACAAAAAAAAAAAAAGACCACAAATATTCTGAGCAGTTTTGCTGTAAGAACAGTAATCAAGACCTTGTTAACTGTATATAACAGATAAGGTCTCAGAATTGTGATTTGGGAGTACTGTTTCGTAAATCAAATTCTATGTTCACATTAACTTTAATTATAAAATAAGGTAGATGTTATCTCAAGTGTTCTGATTTTACCAAAATGGAAAAATATTAGCAAACTAAAAGGTTAAGTTGAGGCCGGGTTCTATTGCATTTGCCTTCCCTCTCTCTCCTCCTCCAAAAAAATAGCTTGGCAATGTGGTGTCCATTCCAAGTTGACAGCAGAATCTTATACAACATTTTCTCTTAAAGTAAAAGCAGATTGGATACTTTCCAACTGTGATACATTATTTTGGCAGATGGTAACCTATGGAGAAATGGGTCTTTGTGCTCATTGGTTGAAAATTAATGACCGGGTGGTTTGAGACAAGTTGGTCTCTGGAAAAAATTAGAATTGGGGGAGGCAGGGAGAGAGTCAGGAATGATTCTGATGCCAAGCTGACATAATGCTTTTACAAAATTGAAAATCTCACATGATGTCTTTCAAAAGTGATGAGCTTTCATTGCTATTGAAAATTCAGGAGGTGGTCATTGACTCACAGCTTCTTCCTTGCCTTTAATTAAGTGCTTAATTTTGTCTTTTGCCTGAAGTATTTAATTGTGTTTGCCCACACAGCCTCCCTCTGGGCAGCCAGATTATCGCAGTCCCTGTGAACTCCTCTCTTTCTTGGCACATAAACAAGCTGAGGGAGACTGGAAAGGAAGCCTATAATGTCAGCTACGCCTGGAAGATGGTGAGTGGAAGGAAGTCACTTTGGTTTCACTGATGACAGATACAGTGCTGGTTTTCTTGTGGGAGCTCTGGGGGACCTGGGTCAGATAATTTGTTTTTAAAGTGATTGGGAAATCAGGCATTCCCATAGCTGTTGTATAACTTTTTTTCTTTTGATATTTATAAGACCAGCAATTGTTCATGACAAATATGCCAAGCCATGTAAAAGAATATAAATACGGGAGGAAAAAGGCCATTCCTTTCTTTCTTACCTTGACTTCAGGGTTTCTATAAATGGTCACTTCAACCAATTTCCAGGACATTTTTTATGTATACACTGTCGTAGGTAGGTAGGTAGGTAAGTAGGTAGGTAGATAGGTAGGTAGGTAGGTAAGTAGGTAGGTTAAATAGGTAGGTAGGTAGGTGGGTGGGTAGGTGGGTAGATGGTGACTAGATAGATAGGTGAACAGACAGAATGGTCCATGCATGTACATGTTACTTTAATGGCTATATATTATATCCAGTTGGGTTGTTTTGGTTTGGGGTTTGGGTTTTTTTTAACATTTTAATTCAGACTGTAGAAATTAGTTCTTTAAAAAGAAATTTGAAGACATGAAGACAAGCTAGGCACTGGTAGCTCACGCCTGTAATCCTAGCTACTCAGGAGGCTGAGATCTGAGGCTCACAGTTTGAAGCCTTCCTGAATGGAAAAGTCTATGAGACTCTTAATTAATTGGAGAATTGACCACCGAAAAGCTGGAAGTGGAGCTGTGGCTTAAGTAGCAGATCACTACTAACCTCAAGTAAAAAAAAAAAAAAAAAAATCTTAAGGGTCAGTGCCCAGGCCCTAAATTCAGGATTCAAGCCTCATTATTAGCAGTAAATTACTCCCTGACATTTTTCAAGAAATGGAAATGGGTTAGCACTTGTGTTATTTATATTCAACACAGAGATTGACATGCTAGCCATGCCTTGGTATGTATTTCAGCTTTTTCTTACCAGCATCATTCAGACACTGGATCTCAAAGAACTGTAGAGAAACAATCTAAGACACACTGCTTTGTACAGTAAATAAACCCAATGTTAACTCTTTAGAATGAAATATCTTCTTTTCCTTAGTGGTAAATTCTGCCCTCTCTCCTTAAGTAAGTTGGATATAATCATTTTGGGCAGAAGTATAAGCCTTTTCAGAGAACCAAAGTTGTTGAGTAGATCACTATTAAATAAAAAAATTAAATAGGTAATGAGAGTTAAGATAAAAGAAGCCTGGCTAGATACCCAGTAATGAGGACAAGTTCTTTAAGTTTTCTTAATAAATACTCATCTTGGCCAGGCTCTGGTGGCTCATAGGTATAATCTTAGCTATCCATGAGGCTGAGATCTAAGGCTTGCTGTTCGAAGCCAGCCCAAGCAGACAAGTCTTTGAGACTCTCTATCTCTGATTAACCACCAGAAAACTGGAAGTTGCGCTGTGGCTCAAAGTGGTAAAGTACTACCCTTGAGCAAAATAGTCCCAGAACAGTGCCCAGGCTCTGAGTTCAGCCCCATGACTAACAGAAAACAAACAACAACAAAAAAGCTGTACCTCATCTTGTCCTAAGGAAGAAACGGATTCTTCTAATGTAATCCAAATGTAGGTCTCTGAGAGTAAAAACTGTAAGGCTGTCAAAGACATAGAAAATACTGATGGATCTTTTCACTGAATTAATTCAAATATAAGAGATTATGTAAGCAATATTATGAGATTGTTCTCTCATTGTGCAAACCAAGTCCAGTTTTGAAGGTTGGAATAGCTTGTTTGTGGTGAGAAAGGAAAGTACTGGCTAGTAGACGTCAGAATGTTTTCCTGTTACCCCAGCATGCTTCACTTCAAACCATGGATTCATGTGCAGTCAGTGAACACATCTACTTCCCAGACATGGAGGCCCCTCCAAAAACCTAATAGCTCCTTTCAACACCGAAACAACGTTTCCAGCAAAGAACACACTTTTTAAAGAAATACCTTACATTGCTATTTTTAGAACAGACCCAGTTTTAAAAATATATCCCATTTTTCCTGCAACCTAGGAAAACACCTTACATGATGACTATGAGATGTTGAGAAGATGGGGCGTGGTAAATGCCACCTCAGAACACCCTGCCACTTTCTAATTCAGGGAATCAAGGGAGAGGATTAAATTGGCTTATCTAATTGAATATCTTTGCTAGCAGGACTTAAAAGCAATTCCAGGAAAATGTAAATTGCTTCTGTGTTTAAAGATTCTCCAGCCATTCTCACAAGTCCTAACACTTAACTCTAACCTGATTCATTAAAAATCTCTCCTTAGCTGGTTGCCGGTGGCTCATGCCTATAACCTAGCTACTCAGGAGACTGAGATCTGAGGATCATGGTTCAAAGCCAGCCGGGGAAGGAAAGTCTGTGAGACTCTTATCTCCAATAAACCACTAGAAAATCAGAAGTGAAGCTGTGGCTCAAGCAGTAGAGCACTCGCCTTGAGCTGAAGAGCAAAGGGACAGCGCCCAAGCCCAGAGTTCAAGCCCCACGACTGACAAAAAAAAAAAAAAAAAATCTCCTGATCACTAAGTAAATCACTTGAGATGTTTTATAAGGCACTTGACCACTAGTTCTGACTTGGCTTGTCCTCACCCTCTTCATTTACCATAAAGCTTTTACATGTCTCTTTCCTAATATAATTGATACCCTGTTTAATGACAGACACAATCAGAGAAAACTATTACAGGTTGTTTTCATTGTTATATGTACATCTTCTATGATGATAACATAGCAGTCAGTGACTGACTTTCTTGATTTTTTTTTTTTTTTTGGTCAGTCATGAACTCTGGGCCTGGGTGCTATCTTCAGCTCAAGGCTAGCACTCTACCACTCTGCCAGTGTCATTTCTGGTTTTCTGGTGGTTTATTAGAGATAAGAGTCTCACAGACGTTCCTGCCCAGGCTGGCTTTGAACCATGACCCTCAGATCTCAGCCTCCTGAGTTAGGATTACAGACATGAGCCACCAGTGCCCAGAACTTTTTTGATTCTTCAGTGAACATTTTTCTCACTAAATTTTGTTCAGGCACCTATTTCTATAAGTGGATTGGAAAGTACTGCTGTTCATGCACAGGCGCTTAAAACTTAAGCTAGAGTATGCCTTCCTACTCTGGACTGAAAACAGCCTGAATCAGAGTGCCAGGAGAATTTGTGCTTCCCCTGAGTTTTTGTAATGACTTGGTCAGCTCTGACCAGGAAAGTACAAAGTGTTTGTTACGAACAGGATGAATAAAGTAGATTCTTCATTGGCTGATCTTTGATCTTTTCTCTTAAGTGAAGATTAACAGGTTCCTTGAAAAATACTCTCAGAACACTTACTGCAAAACCAGTTATGCCTTTTGTGTTGTTGTTGTTCTAATACTGGGGCTTGAACTCAGGGTCTGGGAGCTGTCCATTAACTGTTTGGGAGGGGGGAGTTGTTTTTTTTAATCCTCTCAAGCCTGGCACTCTACCACTGGAGATGCAGCTCCACTTCCAGCTTTTTAAAAATGTTGTTTATTTTTGTGGTGGTGGTTAATTGGAAGTAAGAGTCACACAGACTTTTCTGCCTGGACTGGCTTCAAACACAATCCTCAGATCTCTGCCTCCTGAGTAGATAGGATTTGCTGGTGCCTTTCAATTATGCATTTTTAATTATAATTAAAACCCAAATAGAAATAAATGTTACACTATTATACTCTAGCTTATTCCAAGAACTTAAAGGACTAGGCTCACATTTTTTGAAGTGTTCCTTTCCTATCATTTCATTCTGTTATACAGACTAATGTCCCTCAACAAGAAAAGAAGCCAGATGATACCTTCTACCCCTTATCTTGATATCTTTAATTCATTCATCAAGTATATAATTAGCACCTTTCATATGAGGCTACAAGACACAGAAACAGTAGAAAACCATCTATGTAATGGCCCTGTCTCTGTGGAACCTTCATTTTGTGTGTCAGAAATTCTTTACTGATTTTTTTTTCCAGGTACAAGACACTTCCTTTATCCTGTGTATTGTAGTAATACAACCAGAAATACCTGTCAGGCAGCTGAAGAACCTCAACACTGTACCAAGCAGCAAGTTGCTGTACCACCGTCTGGATCTCCTTGGCCAGCCTAGTGCCTGCCTCCACTTCAAGCAACTGGCAACCCTAGGTAAAGCAGTGCGCATCGCAGCCTTCTGCGTTGGAATTGTGCCCCCTCCACTCACCGCCTACTGATGCACAGCAGCAGACGGGAATGAACATGTGAAGCGGTTGTTGGAGCTGTCAGAGTAAACCAGTGTGGACAGATAGGGGAAAAGGGCAAGCTTTGATTTCAGGTGAAGTTTCAAAACTCCTGCTCCTGTTGGGGCTCTGAATGCCCACTACAACAGAGTTCGTGTGGACCCCAGGAGTGGACTTTCCCTTCTTTGCCTCTCAGTCATTCTCAGCTTTCTGCGAGGGCCGAGGAAAGAAGGATCCAAAGACAGTTTGTAGAGGCAGGCAGGAGCTGGACACAGTGGTTCAAGCCTGAATTTCTGGCTGTTCAGGAGGCAGAGATAAGGAGATCAGTTTGAGACAAGCCCAGGCTAGCTATGTATCTGTGGTCTTGAGTGATGTGAAGAGGCAGAAATAGGAGGATTACTGTCCAGGCCAGGTTGATCATAAAGTGAGACCCTATAACAAAAACAATGTGAAAAGAGAGTGAAAGTTGGCTCAAGTGACAGAGCAACTGCGGCATATGGGGTGGGTGGAAAATAGTAAGAGAGATGCAAAGCAATCTGTGGCACACACTTACAGTACCTACCACAGGCCCAAATGCAAAAGAGGTTAAGATAACTAAAGCATTGCAAAGAAGCAAAAGGAATCCATGTGCAATGTATCAAGTGTTTTGCACTCAGGACCAGAGTTGAACTGTGATAGAAGACATATAGATTACCAGAGATAAATACTCTTCCCACCAGGCACCAGTGCTTCCCACCTGTGATCCTAGCTATTCAGGAGGCTGTGATATGAGGATCAAGGTTGGAAGCCAGCCCATGCAGCTGTGAGACTCTTATCTCTAACCACTAACAAGAAGTGGAGCTTTGGCTCAAAGTGGTAGAGCACAAGCCTTGAGCAAAGAGAGCTCAGGGACAGTTCTCAAGCCCTGAGTTCAAGCACCTGCCTGACATTAATCTTCCCAAAATAATACAGAAAAGTGGTATTTATCATGATGGAACCCCCTTTTTGTCCCTTTGTGCATTCCTTGCTCTGAAGTCAGCTCTGCCTGAAATTAATACAGCAACCTCTAACTTCTTTTGATTAGCATTGGCATGGTTTATCTTCATACAGTTATTTTTAATCTCTATGCATTTGAAGTGGCTTTTTTATACAGAACCTATAGTTTGGTCTTAATGGGCTTTTTAAAAAAATCTACCCTGACAATCTTTATGTTTTCTTTCATTTTTCTCCCTCACCCTTGTTTTTTGAGACACAGTTTTACTATTTAGCCCAAGCTGGCCTTGAACTCAAAATCCTCCTTCAGCCTCCTGAGTACTTCAAGTACTGGCATACTTCCCCAGGCTCAACTACAATCTCTGGGTGCATTTATTTAGACCATTCAAGCTCAAAGTGATTTATAGTCGGCGTGGTGGCTCACACCTGTAATCTTAGCCACTCAGGAGGCTGAGATAAGAAGCTAGCGGTTCAAAGCCAGCTGGGGCAGGAAAGGCCATGAGACTCTTATCTACAATTAACCACTCAGAAAACCAGAAGTGGTGCTTTGGCTCAAATGATAGAGTGTTATCCTTGAGCTGAAGAGCTGAGGGACAGCATCCAAGCCCAGGTTCGAGCCCCATAACCCCCCCCAAAAAAAAAACAAAAAAAGTGATCTATATAACATACAAATATACATATTTATATATTATATATAAATATATTTTATATATTCTGATTAATATCTACCATTAATAATCCTTGTTGTATATTCCTGTTACATTTCTTTCATTCTACTTTTTCTGGAGATTTTTAAATGGATTTTTATTGACATACAAAAACATAAAACTTAAACATATTAAGGTACCATGTAGTGTTACCTACCTTGTGTCATGTTTAAATAACTATATCTATAACTTAGAACCCAATATCCATCATTCCTTCTCCCTCCTCCCCAACCACCACTCTCTCCTCAGCCTCTGACAACTCTTTTAGGCTCCACTGTGAGTGAGATCCTGCCATTCTTGTCTTTCTGTATCTAACTGACTTCATTTAACATAATGATCTCCAATTCCATTCAAGTTGTCACAAATAACAGGATTTCTTTCTTTTATGGTCGCATAGATTTTCATTGTGTCTGAATTTTGCATTTTCTTTATTCATTCACCAGGTGATGCACACTTAGGTTGTTTTCATCTTTTGGCTATTGTGAATAGTGCTGCAATGGACTTAAGGGTAAAGATGTCTTTTTTGACAGACTGAGCTTATTTCCTTTATCCAAGTATGGGATAGCCAGTTCCTTTGATAGTACTAGTTTTAATTTCTTAGAAAACGTCCATAATGTTTTCCATAATGACTGTGATCATCTATATTTCACTAATGTGCAATTTCTCCATATCCTCACCAGCGCCTACTATTTCTTAGCTTTTTTATAATAGCCATTCTAACTTGGGTCAGGATGACTAAACTCGTGGTTTGGTTTGTGCTTGTCTAATGATTTCTGATGTTTTGCATTTTTTGTATGTCTGTGGACTAAGCTGAGATTTGACTCATATACCTCTGGTCTATCATATACCAGATACACAAGAGGCCTTTGTGGTCCTTTTGTTTTGTTTTGTTTTGTAAGAAAACTTGGAGGAGCTTTATTAAGTAAGTAAGCAAGCAAACAAACTGTGAGTGCTCTCGAAGAGAGACGGTAAGACACACACCCCTTTGTGGTTCTTATCAGTATATTACTGTATACTCAAGGCTCAGTAAAACAGGTATTACCTTTTTCCATGTTGAAAATATTTAGTTCAGAAAAGTTTATAGCTAAGCATCATCACATATAGTAAAGTCAGTAGAGGGTACACAGGTTGGAAGAGCATCAGAGAAAGATTTCTCTATTCTTCTAGATTCTACATGAAAGTTCTGGGGTTTGAGTTCCTCCTTTAAATTCCATTCTAGAAAATGCTTCCTCAATATGATAGCAGAAGACCAAGCCAGACACATTTCAGAACATCAACAATTTATAGAAAACCTATAATATTGGACAAAATTAAGATTAAACATTTTTGTTTGTTTTGACTAGGGATTTGGGGGTTGTTTACTTTTATGCAAAAGAAGTCATTTATCATTCATAAGACATTCTTTACTGATAATGTGTGCAATAGTCATTTAAGTTCTCTGTCAGTAAGTGAAATATTGCGACTGGAGAAAATGAGATCATGTCCTCAAAATTTAGGTGCAAGTTTGGTACAAGTTTCCTTTATGAAAAAGAGGCTCAAGACCAGATTTTTTTTTTCAATTTCCTTTAGATAAACCTTCATAGCTATTCTATTCAGTATATTAGTCCCTGGTTGAACTTAACTACTGAGCACTTGAAATGGGGCTTATCAATTAAGATGTTAGTTTGTTATTGCAAATAAGTGGTTTTTTGGTGGTGGTAGTTGTTGTTGTTGTTGTTGTTGTTTGCTTCATTGGTGTTGTGGATTTTGAGGCAACATGTTAAATCTTTGTCAGCTCTTTGAGAATGGTAGTAACTCAGTGGTAGAGCCTTGCCTAGTATGTACAAGACCCTCATTCAATTCCAATCCCTATTTGGGGGAGGAAGAGAGAACAATATTGCAGAATAACATGGTCATTTTTGGTACACCAAAAAACAATTTTTTAAGAGTGCATCATCAGAGGTAGTTTAATATGTATGTATGTATGTACATAAGTATGTTTGTGTATGACTTCATATGTCTACCTCTTAGTAATGAAGCTTTGGGTCTTGTATCTTGATTCTTTCTCTGCCATGTTCTCTATCCATCATACTACATCAGCCTGAAGTGCCCCCCTGAAGCACCAGTCTCTATCAGTAGAACAAATTACAAAAATGCCTCTTCCCAAGGCATCTCCACTTCTCTTCATTCTGGTCCTTCTGTAACCCACATGACTGAGCCAGGCATATACCTTCTGAGATCACTATTATTCTTAACATTTGCCTTTATTTTCTTCACTCCTCGGCTCTCTGACTGAATCCAAAGCTGTTTGACTTTCTGGTACATGCTTCCATAAGAAAGGACACATGAGCACCTATGCAATGAATCAGCAGCACGCAGCAAGGCATCCTGGTCTCTGCTTTTGTTTTCTTGGGTTGTTTGTGATTACTATAATAATAATTTCCAAGATACCCTATGGGGACATAATGAGAATCAAATGAGAAATAGCCATTTGGGAAGCAACATTTTCTGAGCATGACAGACTAGATAATTCAGATCCTGCTGAGGACCAGGAAATATGTCAGATAGGCACCTAGTCCTAGATTAAGGTCTTCTGGAGAAACCTGAAAAAAATAACGTAGCCATGAGGCATGCATTGGCCAAAATCTAAAAGAACTTTTAATACAGAGAAGAGTGTCCTCACTGACGGACTGCTGTTTATACAGTGCACATAACTGACCAATCTAAAAGGAACAGCTGTGAAATGGACTGTGTTGTAGTGTTTCTTAGGGCTCAGAAGAGGGGCAGAAATCAAAGCCAAGGTTCCTGGAGGTAAAGTCACTAATGGAGGAAGCCACCCTCTGTGGCCCCCATACCCCACTCCTGTGCCCCCAGCAGAGGCTGAGGATGCAGCAGACTGAACAGCTCAGCCTTGACTGGGATTCCATCCCTGCCAGGGAGAGGAAACTCCGAGCATTCAGTTCTGAAGTGGGTGAAGTCACAAACTAGTTGAATTTCGAAGTTGCAGTGTGGTGCTTGCACAGCATCCTTATTGGAAACTGTTTCCTACACCACCCCTGCCTTACCTTGTATAGTAGCATGTGACAGGATCAAACAGCAATCCCCTCTGAAGATATACGGGTCCTCCATACTCTACCCTTCAAGCTATTCCTACAAATGGTTTTGATATAATGTCAAACCATTCATGCCTATAATCCTAGCTACTCAGGAGACTGAGATCTGAGGATCATGGTTTGAAGCCAGCCAGTATAGAAAAGTCCATGAGACTCTTACCTCCAACTACCAAAAAGCTGCAAGGGTTGCTGCAGCTCCAGTGGTAGAGTGCTAACCTTGATCAACAAAGCGAAGGGACTGCACCCAGGTCCAGACTGAAAGCCCCAGGACTGCCCCCTATAAACACACTCACACAAAAGCAGCAATCACAGGAAGGCCAGACTCTGCAAAAAGTTTGTGTGACTCTATCTCACCTAACAACTAGTAATGATGCTACACATCTATAATCCTAGCTATGTGTGAGGCATAAGTAGGAAGATCATAGCATGAGACAAATCCCTAGCACAAATATGAGCTCCTGGCTGAGAAATAACAAAGTACAGAGGTTTGAGGGCTTGGCCAAAGTGGTAGAATACCTACCTCGCAAGTTCAAAGTTCTAACCCTGTCCTGCACACACACATACATGCATACATGCACACACACAAACTGACCAGGCTACAAGGAAATGAGCATAATATGTAAGAACTAACAAAGCAGCTACAAAATAACCCAAACTTTAAATGAGATAGGGCAGGTGATAGTGCCTTCTAACTCATTTAAAAAAAAACTGAACAGTAGAAAATTCCAAAGATTAAAGATATCCTTGTTTTGTTTTGTATTCTTATTCATAGCAAGGATTTTTGTGTTAAATATGCAACAGTAATTTTCCTGTTAGGAGCAATAATAATTAAGTTGTGCATTTACTAACTATATTTCTTCAAGCTTTTCTTTATGTCAACTTAGGCTGCCACCATCTGTGAGAACAACTTTCGTAAATGAATTTTTGCCTTGACTCCAGCATTCCATCTTTCCTTCTTAAGTAGAGACTGACGAATGGTTATAGCTGTCACTCACTGATAAGTACTATTCTACATGTGTGTGAAACATTGCTTTTCTATGTGATTTTGCATTCTGGACTCATCTTCTCTACAACTATTACCTCATTCATTCTCAACATAACTATTATTTTCTATGTGCTATTACTTTCTCGTTTGGCAGATGAGAAAAATGTTATGTGTGTTACAGCTTATCCAACATCTCATAACCTGGCTTCTCATTCCTAATAAATAAACATTGATCTAAGATACATCTAAATGCCCATTTCCAGCCCTTGTACCTATTGGGGCAGATAACCTGTGCTGCTTTACCCTTAGGACCATAAGCTCCCTGAAGGGAATGTATGTGGCCTTTTTCCCTTTTCTTTTGCTCTCAGTGTCAAGCTCTTTTGTTCCCTTCTGGAAGGCATTAAGCCACCGTGGCAGACAGATTGGCAAAGCCTGAGCCATGCTTTTGTTTGGCCTGAGACGAAGAAGGCTCCGTGTTCTCAGGCCTGCTTTGTTTGCTTCTCTTTCAGAAAATCCAACCGTCATGCTGTCTGCTGGCAGCTTTTCCTCCCCGTACGAGCACCTCAGCCAGCCAGAGACAAAGCGCATGGTAGAGCATTACACAGCCTATCTCAGTGACAACACCCGCCTCATTGCTAACCCAGGGCTCAAAGTGAGTACTGGCGTGAGGCCCATCTCTGTGTCCCTCTCACAGGCCCAGGAGGAAATGTGGCCCCGAATCTTTGAAGCGCCAAAGTCTAGCTCTGCATCTGGGGCTCTCAGCTGGAGAGCCAGAGTGACAGGTAGCCAGGGCAGACTGGTTCGCTATGAGCCTTCTGATGGATTAAGACGGGCTGAAGGGCCTTGCAATGAATCTGTTTCAGGATTCAGATATACTGCGCCTTTCCAAGGTGGAATTGAAGAGAGCAGTGAAACTTTCTCAGCCCATTTTTTTCCCCAGGGGAAGGAAGTAAAAGCTCTCGCTGCTGTCTGTTGAGATAAATATGACATTCAGCGAGTACAGACGGGAGGGAAAGGGCCCTGTGTGCAGATCTTTGATGTGGCACTATAGGATATTTTTTCTTCCTCAACTCAGAAAGCCTGGTTAGGGTGAACAACAGAGTAATCGTACATCTACTGAGGATATTTCTGTAAGGTTTTGTGTTCATCCACTTCAGTTGTACCTATCTGCTGTGAAAGATTTAAAAGAAAAAAAAAACTTCATCAGGGTTTGGCTTCTCTGCCTGGGGGGTGGGGGGAGGGGTATCCCTGCCAATAGCCACACTCTTTTCATGTGAGTTTTAAAGGAGCCCTGCTATGTCTTCCTTTGTTTCCCAGTTCTCGGTCAGAAATGAAGTAATGGCTACCAGCCACGTCACAGATGAATGGATGACCCAAATGGAAATGAGTAGCCTGAACACTTACATTGTCCGCCGTTACATAGCAACACCCAATGGTGTCCTCAGAATTTATCCCGGTTCCCTCATGGACAAAGCATTTGATCCCACTAGGAGACAGTGGTGAGTTTGGGGGCGGGTGGGGGGGGGGAGTGATCCAAGATCTTCCCCTCCACCAGTTCTGGAAAGATATGATGACTATAGACAATATCAAGTCATCACATGTAGAAGACACTTGCATGGAAGTAAAATTGGTTTTTAATCATTTTCATGAGGTAGCATTGTTGAAAGCTCTGTGGGGTTTCTCTATCATGGTATCTGCTATCTCTTCATTGAAACCTTGAGGCTGAGATGCTTTATGATGGTTTCAGTTCCTACAACCAGTCTGATTCTTACCTGATAGACAGATAGATGTTGGTATAGGTGGCCTGGCTATTTTATTACACGTGATGATGACATGGCATTTTTGTAGCTCATGTGTAACCTGTGGAAAACAAGCCTATACAAATTCAGAAACATTCTCTTACTTCTGGGATCTATTTGTACTCAAGTTTTCAAAGCCAGTTGTAGCCTTGTAAAACAACAAGCAGGTAAAGGGCATGGGCGTAAGAACCAAATTTCTCATCCTGTGGGTAGTAACTGATTCACTTTTGAGTCAGCTTTTCGTACCCATTCCCTCCTATATTAATAGTCCCAGATGCAGTTTCATGTGCACTTCTTTCTATTTCATTCATTAATCCCTTTTTATATTAGCTGCCAGTCTAAAACATTTCTATGACAGATCTTAAGATAAAGTTCAGATATGATCAAAAGCACGAGACACATGATCATCTTAAATGACATCATCTTAAATGACATGATCATCTTAAATGGACACATAAATGGCAACCCCCTTGCACAATGGTTTGAAGTTAAAGAAGGAAAAAAACCTTAGCCAGGCACCAGTGGCTCATGCCTGTAATCCTTGCTACTCAGGAGGGAGATCTGAGGATCATGGTTCAAAGCCAGCTTGGGCAGAAAAGTTCCCATGAGACTCTTATCTTCAATTTACCATTCAAAAACCAGAAGTGGAGCTGTGACTCAAAGTGGTAGAGTGCTAGCCTTGAGCAAAAAGAGCTCAGGGGCAGCACCCAGGCCCTGATTTCAAGACCCATGACCTACCAAAAAAAGAAGAAAAAGAAAAACATCAGATATAAGCTAGACATGGTGTTAAACAGTACTCAGGAGGAGGAGGCAGGAAGATATCAAGTTTGAGGCCAGCCTGGACTATGTAATGAGACTCTGTATTTAAAAAAAAAAAAAGGAAAGAAATTCAAAGGCGTAAGATTTATACTGACCTCATTTCTGTTTTAAGAAAGAGAATTTCAGATTCTTTTAGCCTTTTCTATTGATACTATAGTCATACATAAAAACTTTAAGACTCCCTACTGTGTGCCAGTTCAAGCCCTTAATCCTAGCTACTCAGAGGGCTGAGATCTAAAGGTTAAGGGCTGAGATCTAAAGGTTAAGTTTCGAAGTCAGCCTGGGTAAGAAAGTCTGTGGAACTCTTATCTCCAAGTAACCACTTAAAAGCCAGAAGTGGTACATGGTTCACGTGGTAGAGTATTAATTAGCCTTGAGCACAGAAGTTTAGGAACAGTGCCTGGGCTGCCCCAAGGACTGACACAAAAACAACCAAATAAAAAAAAACTAAGATTCTTATGAACTTTAATGTTAATATAAGCACATAATATTTTTAGAATTACAACTTCACTCTTCTTTGAAATTGACAGGGTAGTTTTTTAGACCTAACATGTCTTTCTTTGGTCTCCTTTAGGTATCTTCATGCAGTAGCTAACCCGGGGTTGATTTCTTTGACTGGTCCTTACCTAGATGTTGGAGGTGCTGGTTATGTTGTGACCATCAGCCACACAATTCATTCGTCCAGGTAATATTTTAATTAACTTGTAGTTCATTTGTTTGAGTACCATCAAGAATATTTTAGAGACCAAGTAGAGTATGAGATACCAAAAGCTTGTGGAAAGAGCATGACCTTAGAAATGAGGCAAGCTAGGACTTGAGGTCTTTGCTGTGTTGCCTTGGTGACCTGAGCTTTCCCCTAATGCCTAGAAAATGGAGAGAATTCCTACTTCACAAGGTTATCTTGTGAGTTGGGTGAGTGAAAACCTTGAGGCCCTGCTCTAGGCAGCCAGGGTGACAAGAGGAGAAAAAGGAAAGAGGCTGAAGTCACTAGAGCTGTTTGTAGAAGTTCCAGTTTTCAAATGATGAGAGAAATATCAATGGAGCCTTTTTAATGAAAAAAGAAATACCAAAACATCAAATCTGTCTCCTCTTGTATTTGAGTTTAACTTCATAGAATTATATGAGTTTGGGGTTTTTTCATACATTTCGTTTTGGTGCCTTTGAAATAGTATCTCAAAAAATGGGAATGCCTTTTGAAAATGAATTTTTCCAGAATGTTATATGGTATCAGTATCACCATCTATATAGCTTTGTATTTCCTGAAGCAAAGTGAAGCTTCACTAATGAAGCTACAAATGTCAGTGAAAGCGTAGGTAGAAAGGCAAGTCACACACACACACACACACACACACACACACACACACACACTTAAACCCTTCATTAAATGAATCACTGTTTCTCCACTGCAACCAAGAAAGACCATATTTGACTTGTCCTGTGATGGTGCCTTATAGAGGGCAGATTTTCTTAGCTTGATGGCTTTTCACTTGTGCTCTTATGCCAAAAAATAGTAGAATTCCTCTAAGACAGGCTCATTGGGAAACAGCAGTGTGGAATTTCAATATGGTAGCCTGTGTTTCCAAACTATAGCCTTGGCAACCATACAGATGTTCATTCCTTTTGCAGGGCATGGTATCTGTCTCTGTCAGCTGCTTCTATAATACAGTAGTTCACACACAAAACAAGTAGACACTAATTTTAGAACAGATCTCTCAGTACTTTCCTTAACAGGCCATCTGTTGGGCATATGCCTACAAGTGTTAGGTGGTGAGACTTGTCACCCCTGCCTTATATCCTAATCAATGAAGGAAAAGTAAACAAAGACTGTTTCCTTGAGAATATCAGTCCTCTTGGAATTTGATTGTAATACAATAAGTTCAAATGGAGCCATTGCTACCGCGAAGCATGTCTTAGCCTTCAGGTATCTCATCAGGCTCTACTCCCTTTTGCAGGAGGGTAAGAATAGAGGCAGATTAGTATGCTTATGTAGGTAGATATACATGTTTTGATTGGTGTTTGAATGAGTGGAAGAATTTTGATTTGTTTTATTTACAAATATTTGTGGTGTCTTTCCAAATGAAGCCATGGCAGAAATACGATGAACTTTCAAGTTAGAAAATCCTGGGTTCAACTCTTCTTTTTTGGTAACCTTTTGATTGCATGTTTAACCTATATAAATTTAACAAAGCAAAATGTGACGGTGCCAATCCTAGATTCTGCCTAGTAATTCACTCAGTGAATATGTATTCTACAAGATAGGCTCTGCTCAATATGCAGACTTCATCATTTGAATATTTTGCTTGGTTAAGTATGAGTTGACTATTTAAAGCCGTGATTTTTTTATTTAACATTGCTGAGATTACAAATCAACTACCTGTTCTGGGGCTCAGTGAGAGTCTGAGGCTATGATGGAGGAATCAGTGGGTTTTGCAAAGGTTTTTTTTTTTTTCAGGTGATTACACATGATCTTGGCCTCATGTCAACTTGAGAGTCCAACCCCCTTTCTAAGATGTATTTAGGTAGATTTGCCATTCAGGGTTGTGTGACTATAAACAATCCTTTTGCCTTTGTTTCCATTCTAGGAAAGAGAAATACTAGGGCATGTCTTAAATGATTATTAAACTATGCCATGTGCTAGTGCCTTATACCTGTAATCCTTGCTACTCAGGGGGCTGAGATTTGAGGGTTGTGGTTTAAAGCCAGCCCCAGCAGGAAAGTCTGTAAGATTCTTGCCTCCAAGTAACTTCCAAAAGTCTAGAAGTTAAGGTATGGTTCAAGTGGCAGAGAGCCAGCCTTGAGTATAAAACCTAAACTGGATTCAAACTCCAGTACTGGGACACATACAAAGAATTAAACCAAATTGTGTGTGTGTGTGTGTGTGTGTGTTTTGTGTGTGTTTGTGTGTGTGTGTGTGTGTGTGTGTGTGTGTGTGTGTGTACCACACACACTGCCAGATACATGACAAGGATCCAAAAAAAATCTTATGTTTATTATTTTTCTGTTCCATGACCTCTTTGAGCCTTGTATATAAAACAGAGATAATGCTCATGTTGAACTGGTATGATGAAAATGAGAGATAATTCATGTAAAATGAGTGGCACTGCTATTGTTAAGACTCAAATAAGTGGGAACTATTTTCATTATACCATTCATGCTTTAAATACATGGCACCTTAACAGGTCAGAAGCTTGTGTGCAATCTCTTCCTTGCACACTTCATGAAGCATGTTGATTGACCTTGGTTTTCAGAAGTGGTTTGGCTGAGAATTAGGGGAAGGGTTTCCAAATTTACCACTCATTAGTGATGCTAAGTAGCTCAGCTGCAATTCTTCCATAGGCATTTTTGGTAGACTGAGTGAGAATCTAGGTTCATATTCTTGGAGAATAACAATGCTGCTTAAAGATGTACAGGTGACTGTAAAACTGTGAGACTGGAGAACTGGAAAACTGTGAAAATCTCAGGTATAAACAGTCCCATCTGTTATGCTTAGAAATGTAGGTTTGCCTGGATTTTTCTATGAATTTCTTTATGAGTTGCTATGGTAACAGTATCTAAAATACAGATGAAAATATAGATCTGACCTACATGGTCAAGAGACATGCTGTCTCTTAAGCACGTTGGTCATATTAAAGCAAATACCAGTTCTACAGGGGAAATTCAGAAATAAAATTTCTGAAACTCTGAGACAGCTGTGGTATTTAGGAAAGAAACAGAGTTGGGTACTGGTCTCTATACCATAAATAAAAGGTGATCCGACTTACCTCATGTAAATCTTGTTACCATTCTAAGCCTAATTTTTCACTCATAAAGTGTGAAGTATAATTCCTTTCTAGATTTTGCATAGGAAATCAAATAGTTTTTAATGGTTTAGAAACTCTTGATTGCCCTCTGATCTGCCCTACTACTCTTTGGAATTGAAGGTACTTGAATTTCCATGCCTGTATCCATTTGTTACTATGTGACGATGACTAAATAACTTATCTCCTAAGCATTAATATTCTTAAACTGATAAAGCCTAGTAAGGTGATATGAGAGGGCTGGAAGTATAGCTCAAGTGGTAGAGCACATGTGTAGCAATCATGAAGCCCTAAGTTCAAACCTCAATAATACAAACACACACACACACACACACACACACGAGATACTTTTTGTCATTTTCTTTCCATCCTTCTTTCTGTATAAAGAAAAATCAGGTAGGGTGGTGATAAATGATAGTCTCTTAAAAGTCCCATATTGAGTAAATCCTGAAAACCATTAGCCAAAGGAATACAGGAGCTTATGATCAAATGGTCCAGGCCCATCCAGTTCTCATGTGTATAGTTTTAAAAGACTAAAGGTTACAAGCTGGGCACCAGTGGCTCATGCCTATGATCTTAGCTACCCAGGAAGCTGGGATCTGAGGCTCATGGTTCAGAGCCAGTCTGGGCAAGAAAATCCATGAGACTTATCTCCAATTATCTATTCCAAAACTAAAACTGGAGCTTGGCTCAAATGGTAGAGCACTAGCCTTATGCACAAAAGCTCAGGGGCAGCCCTGACTGTGAGTTTGAGTCCCAGGGCCAGCACAAAAAAAAAAAAAAAATGAACAAAGCTTTCAAGAGAGATGCTGTGACATATCTAGCAATTCCTTGAAGCCCTTCTCTCTGAAAGAGTCAACCTACGCATGAGAGCTTAATCTTAGTGTTTTGTTTTCTTCTCAGTAACTTCTCCCTATTAGGTATTTCTCTATATGTTAGGCAGCTTGCTAATATTACAAACTTTCATTTTAATAGCAGGTTTACACAGTAGTAATTATTGTCTCCATTTTCCAATTAAATAGCATCCATGAAAGCCACATAAATAGAGGCCAGCAGGGCCACGGTTTGACATGAGGTCTACTGAAAACTTAGCAATGGCACTGTACTGTGATACCAAGGCATTCCTTTCTGTGACACCCCTCCTCTGAGAATAGATAGCATTGCAAGATGGAGCAAACAATGGCTTGTGAACCAGGTAACATGTGAGCTGTGCTTTGAGTCGAGGCCACCTTAGTGCTATGGAGAGGGGATTAGACTAGAACTAGTTTCCCCACTGAGTTTTGTGTGACCTAACACGAGTAAGATGACCTTTGTGGGATCTCAGTCCTTATCTACAAATGAAGGAAATAATTAAGAGGGTTGCTCAGGTTCCATTCCTAAAGGTTTACTACACGTAGCCATTGTATCCACCCTCATACTTCTGGACTCAGTGTTTTTGTTTTTTAACCACTCTCTCCACAACCGCTCATGTTCCACACTGGTCTTATTCAGAAAGTTACACATTAAATCTTAATGTTCTCTTTTATGAAATCTACACAATACATGAAATGAGCCATCTTTTTTCAGGCATAGGAAAAGAGCAGGAATAATGGGAATGTATTTCTGAGACTATCCAATGTCCCTGTGACCTGCTTTTACCTTAAATAAGCCATCCACTCTCTCTCTCTCATTGATCTTCCTCATATACAGCACACAGCTATCTTCTGGGCACACGGTGGCTGTGATGGGCATTGACTTCACACTTAGATACTTCTACAAGGTTCTGATGGACCTTTTACCAGTATGTAACCAAGATGGTGGCAACAAAATAAGGTAAGCTCTTTAGGGACACCATCTCTTGTGAACCCCTGAAATTCAAAGTGTAATGGTATCCATATAGTTATGGTCAGAAAGGGAATCGAATTCATGGCCCGAGGGTTCTATTATGGAGGTTTTTGTTCTTTTTCTCATCTTCCCTTTTCTAAGATGCATGCTGTTTATGATTTAGACAAATAGACACAGCACATAACAAGAGGAATATATAATGCTCCAAAGCTCTTGTTTCCCTCAAAGTCAGTAATTAGAGGCTTCCCATATCTTTGGTACTAGAAAGACCAGAGGGTACTTTAGGGTAGTACTTTTGATGTTAACTTAGTCATTAAACCCGTCTTTGTGAAATTTTAGCTGCTTAGACTGCTCTTTTTTACATTTCCCCAGAAAGAGGCTCGTGGAACTAAAAGTCTTTGCCTTCTGAATTTCAAAAGAACATGTCTGATCAAAGCAAGGGCATTCCCTTGATTTAATGCAGGCTGCTTTAAAAAAAAAAAAAAAAAAGCCTTCCTAATTCAATCTCATGGTCCACGCTTCGTGTCACTGCCGAATCTCCCATTGGTCTTTGATGGGGACATGCCAGATTGCTGACTGAGATGACTAATGTACAGGAAAAATAAGGCAGTAGATAGTCTTAATTAAAGCTGTTCTAGCCTTACTGTTTCCATCCAGTATGATTTTCTGTAAACCTTGAACGTTCTATTTTGTGTATGTCTATCACTGAGAGGGAAATGATATGATTCCCTTAAAAGTTGTTGCTATAAAGGCTCCAGTCTTTTTCCTCCCAGAAATTAACATCCCATTTCTACATCTTTGCAAAAGATTTTTAAGCCCTTCCTTGGGAATGTTCTGTCTGAACTATATAGATGACCACAGAGAGGTTTGAGGAACTCTGCATTCCAGGTGACCATCTACCTCAACAATAATGTACCTATCTAGCTGCCAGTCAGCTTTCTTTTATATCTTCCATGAATATTTCTTAAGAAGTTGAGATAATGGCCATTTGTTTCAAGACTAGCCAGGTAAACATTCCTCTGAAAGGCCAGACAAAGAGCTCAGGTGAATAAAGGACATCACTTCTTTGGGTACAGGTGCTTCATCATGGAGGACAGGGGTTACCTGGTGGCACACCCCACTCTCATTGATCCCAAAGGACATGCCCCTGTGGAACAACAGCATATCACCCACAAGGTACTTGTTGCCAAGCTGATGTGCTCGGGTCCCCAACAGCCAGCATTGCATTACCTGACATTTGTCTTCTATTCTCTTTGGCTGTGTTAGGAGCCTCTGGTAGCAAATGACATCCTAAACCATCCCAACTTTGTGAAGAAGAACCTGTGTAACAGCTTCAGTGACCGGACAGTCCAGAGGTTTTATAAATTCAACACTAGCCTTGTGGTGAGTTTTTTCCCTTGGCATTGTCAAATAGGATGTCTCTTCCCACTGTGGAATAGGAAACACAATAAAAATGAGTATTGCTGTCCCATATCCTTGCATTATAATTGCAGGAGCATAGCAAGGACAGGTCTCTAGTCCAGCTCCCACTTCGATGACTAGAGGATAGAAAAAGCCTAGAGTGGAGAAGGTCTTGCACTTGGTATTTTGTTTGGGGTTTGTTTGTTTAAAGATTCTTCCAATCCATGCCTTTGAAATCCATGCTGAAGCCTGTTCCCACACATTTGTAGAAGTGTACATGCTGCCATGTGTTTCTCTCTTCCTGTTGTCTTAAAATCATTTAATCTCCTTGAGTTCCTCAGACCAATTTATAATACCATTCCATTAAATGTGAACTTTCATGGAAGTCATCTGAAAATAAGCTCTTTTTGTGGCTTAGAAGACAGTGTATAATTTGAGGGTTACTTATAGGAAGTAAGTTTTAATTTAGATTAGGTGTTATGGAAATTGTTGAGTACATAACTAAAAATTAATTTTGCAACTGTTCTGGGTTAAGTCAAAAACCCTAAACTCAATTGAAAGTTGTAAGAATCAATTATCCAGTAGAAAAAAAGAGCCTAAAAATTGAATGTAATAATAGCAGAGTGTAGTGGCTCATGCCTGTAATCCTTGCTATTTGAGAGGTAGCAATCATGTTTCAATTCAAAGTCATGTTGGACAATATAGTTCTCAAGATCATATCTCAACCATAGCACAACATGCCTGTCAGCCCAGCTGTATAGGAAGTCTAAAAGGAAGATCACAGTCAGGTGAGTCCAGGTAAAATGTAAGACCCTATTCAATAACAAAGGCAAGAGGGCCTGGTATGATGGTTCAAGTCAAGTAGCAAGACTACCTCCCTAGCAAACATCAGGCTCATACGTCAAATCCCAATACCACCAAAAGGAAGACAAGTAGGTAGTTATGGAATGATGTCATCAAAGCAAGGGATGTCAGTACTACCCATTTAGACCTCATTTTAGAACAAACATGTTTTTTACAAAGGAAATTTTTTTTTTTTGCCCATCCTGGGGCTGGGCAGGCCCTGGCTCAGGGCCTGGGCACTGTCCCTGAGCTACTTTTGCTCAAGACTAGCGTTCTACCACTTGAGCCACAGCGCAACTTCTGCCTTTTTCTGTGTATGTGGTACTGAGGAATCAAACCCAGGGCTTCATGTGTGCTAGGCAAGCACTCTACCACTAAGCCACATACTCAGCCCAGAAAGATGATATTTAAGAACCATTATAAAATCAGCTATCCAAAAAAATAAATAAATAAAAAATAAAATCAGCTATCCAAATCTACATTTGTATAAGCATGTATAAAAGAGAACATAGATATATATGTACACAGCAGCTAAATAAGAATTATCTCTGATTGGTGGGATCATGAGTAATTCTTTCCCACATTCCCCTTTCAATCAGCAATGCTTGTATTTAGTTTCTCTCTGGACCACATTATGCCCACACCTTTGACAATGACTGTATACTATTTTTATAAGCAGAAACAAAGTCTTATTTTATGGTGTTTTCAGCAGATGGATGAAGGGATGTTTTCGCCAAGGAAAGGCTGAGTTTGGGCATTGTTGTCTGTCATTCCTGACACCTTGGTTTTTCTGTAGGGGGATCTGACGAACCTTGTGCATGGCAGCCACTGTTCTAAATACAGACTGACGAGGATCCCAGGGACCAATGCCTTTGTTGGCATTGTCAATGAGACGTGCGACTCCCTCGCTTTCTGTGCTTGTAGCATGGTGGACCGGCTCTGTCTCAACTGTCACCGGTAAAGACGGGCTGGCTTGTGGTCCCAGTTCACAGCACTGTTTAATATTCTAACTGATGCTGGGCATTTTGAAGTCATCCACAATATAAGGAGGGGGAGGGAAGTGTCCTGAGGAGAAGGAAAATATGGGTTACAGAATCTCTCTGAGCTGAGTGCTTTGCATGTCCTTACCCACATGGTAGCAGATTAAAGCCAATTGTATATTTAAACCTTCAGTGATAATGTCTATTTTAACCATCATTTGTAACTGGCAAAGGATTCTTATTTTTTACCATATGCTGTTGTTGGACTTGGTGAGTCTCTCTTTTGATTGACAGAATGGAACAAAATGAATGTGAATGTCCTTGTGAGTGCCCACTAGAGGTCAATGAGTGCACCGGCAACCTCACCAATGCAGAGAACAGGTAAGTGTGTGTGTGTGTGTGTGTGTGAGAGAGAGAGAGAGAGAGAGAGAGAGAAGAGAGCGAGAGACAGAGAATATATGTGTTTGTGTATATTTGATTTCTATATACAGAAATATATATAAAATACTATAAGGCCTCTTATAAATTTATTTTGGGTTTGGATATGCAAAGATGATTCGTTCTAATGGTGAACCTAGTGAGGCAGATTTCAAATTATATCCATTTTGTGGTTAAATTTAAATGCTTATAAATATCAAGAATGTAGATGCTATGTTAAAAAATAACTAAACTTATAAGCACTTACTAAATACCTATCATGTGTCCGGTACTTTATGCATACTAAGTCACTCAGTTTTTAGTTAACCTGTGATACGTATATAGATAGTTATTATGCATGCACTCACAGATTGTACATGCACTCACAGATGGTATAGCGTCACTTATTACTTATCAGCAGACTGTAAGACCTGTTATTCATGATTAATATCTTCCCAATAGCTCCAAACAGTGTATATACCAATACAGTATATGTTTGTTTAGACATAGGGAAAAAGCCCTCATTAATATCAGCTAATACTATTTACCTTGGAAAAGTAAGATAGAGAACTTTGAGCAAGGGAGGTAATGCTCACTTTTGGTTTTATGCAGCCCTGCAGTGTTTAATATTAATGATTTCATACATATATGTATGTCACAGATATATGCACATATATTATTTCTAGTGTACATAGATATAAACAAATTGGGGCTCAGAGTAGTGAGGTAATGGACCCAAGGTTTTAAAGAGTACCAGAGCCAGGAGTGCAACTCAGATGTGACTAACCCTGTCAACAATCAGGGGCAAAATGAGCTCAGATGGTAGATAGTGTGGATCCTGACCTTAAGACTTGTTTCCTGCATAGAAACCCAAGCTGTGAGGTCCACCAGGAGCCTGTGACGTACACAGCTATTGATCCTGGCCTGCAGGATGCTCTGCACCAGTGTGTCAACAGCAGGTGCAGCCAGAGGATTGAGAGTGGGTAAGCACACCAGCTGAGAACAGCAGCCTGCAACCTTGTCAAGATTTCCCCTCCATGTTTATCTTCCTACTACGGGTGCTCTAAAAAGATACCCATTTTTCAGCTCAGACACAAATTTCCATAAGCCTTCTGTCCACCCAATTAGATGTCCAGTTCCCACTTTTACCGTTATTTGGCATTTGTATAATAGGCTAGAGGCCTCATCTGTGGTGGGAGAGTGTTTCTTGAAATAAATGAGGGGACACTTGAGATAAAGAAGCAAGACACAGTAACAGGATTACCAGGGCCCAGAAAGAAAAGCCAGCTGTTATGGCCCCTGTGATACCTTGAAACTTGTTCATTTTCCTTTCTTAGAAAATATATGTGAGCTAGTGCCAGTGGCTCACACCTATAATCCTAGCTACTCAGGAGGCTGAGCTCTGAGGATCTCGGTTCAAAGCCAGCCTAGGCAAGAAAGTCCACGAGACCCTTATCTCCAATTAACCACCAGAAAACCAGAAGTGGTGCTGTAGCTCAAGTGGTAGATTATTTGCTTTGAGCTGAAGAGCTTAGGGACAGTGCCCAGGCCCCAGAGCCCAGAGTTCAAGCCCCACAACCAACCAAAAAAAAAAAAGGGTATCTGATTCTTGGCAGATTTTTAAAATTTGTCTGTTTTTCTTTTTATTATTTTTCTCAGCAGTACTAGGATTCACACTTTCTGGGATCAACACTTGAACCACCCTAAGTGGCACTTTTTGCATTGGTTATTTTTGAGATGGGGGGGTCTCACTTTTTGCCCAGGCTGGTTTGGATCACATATTTACACTTCCTGTGTAACTAGGTACATGCTACCACATCACCTTTTTATGAGGTAGAGATAGGGTATTCACAAACTTTGTGACTAGGCTGATCTCCAACCACAATCCTCCCAATCTCAGCCTCCCAAGGAGCTGGGATTACAGGTATGTTCCTCCATGCCTGTCTAAATGGCACTTTGGAAACAAAAATCTACATGTTTCCTACTCTCCCTACTCTTTGCAAGGGTGTTTTGGACGAGACATCATGGATCAGTGGCTATGGTAGACCAAGAAGGGTAGGAAGAGCAATTAGATAGATCATAGCTGGTGGTTACCATTTGATGAAGCAGAATAAAGGTATAGAAGGAACAGCCAGCTCTACTTTTGTTCCTTCAGCAGAGGAAGTGTCTACCATTGCATTGGTTAATTGGGGATGTTATAAGGAAACCCATACCAATTAGGTTTGAGAAACACTGACAGTGATGTGTTCTCTTAAGAGTCATTGTGCACAGAATATATTAAAGGCTCAAAGAAATTGCCTGTTAGGAAATCTGTTTTAACTGGCCCAGTAATTCCTAAATGTATTTGACTCTTTCCTTTTTATTTAAATGATGACCACACATGGGAGATGTTAGACCAAAAAAAAAATCTAAGAAACCTTGGGGACCATTTCCATTTGGTAATTTTTTAAGGACGATTTTGAATAACCCTGCAATAATCCATAATGTGTGGATGCCCTGATTTTAATTCACAGGATAGTTGCATTTCTCTTGTTTGCATGTAGTTGAAAGGTGATAAACTAGCTCTCCCTAGCAGATTATTGCTAATACAATTTTATAAGGAAAGAGAATGCCAGGGCAATACTAACAGTACTACTAAGTCATGGATCCCAGAGAACTATGCAGTGCTCTGGCTGCATGCTCCTCCACCCCACCCCACCCCACCCCACTCCACTCCTGTGCTTTCTGTAGCACAGAACCTTGTCTCCGGCAGGGACTGCTTCGGTGTGCTCGACTGTGAATGGTGTATGGTGGACAGTGATGGGAAGACTCACTTGGACAAATCTTACTGTGCACCCCAGAAGGAATGCTTTGGGGGGATTGTGGGAGCCAAAAGTCCCTACGTTGACGACATGGGAGCCATAGGTATGTATATGGGGAACGTCGAGCAATTTTGATTTTTAGATACTATCTTCCTGCCTCTGTCCTAGGACCGAGTGCTTTAAATAATAATCCTCAGCCCAACTTTTCCTGATTCCTTTGACAGTAGTCTTTTTTTTTTTTGGGGGGGGGGTCCGGTCGTGGGGCCTGAACTCTGGGCCTGTGCCCTGTCCCTCACCTCTTCAGCTCAAGGCTAGTGCTCTACCACTTGAGCCAGAGCACCACTTCTGGCTTTTTCCATTTTTGCTTATGTGGTGCTGAGGAATCGAACCCAGGGCCTCAGGCATGCAAGGCAAGCGCTCTACCACTGAGCCACCTACAGTAGTCTTCAGTTACAAAACTCCCAGCCCCTACAGTAGTCTTCAGTTACAAAACTGAGGCAGATAATTACCTTCAGAGTTGGCTCGATACTCTGTACAGAGACAGCAAAGCGGCCAACTCATCTTGCCAAATTTTGCAAGCCTGGAATTCATCCCCATAAAGCTTGCTCTGAGAAACACAGGCCCTGATTTCCGCATGGCTGAACTTGGGAGTGTGTTTGAATGCACCCCGCAGCTGTCAGAAACTCGCAGCCCGCAGTGTGCAGAACCATCACAGCTTGTCTCTTCCCAGCTTTCCTTCTTGTCTCTCTCCTTGTAATCTTCACAGGGCGGGAGTTTTACAGCTCCAAGTCAGTATTTAGGGGATAGGGTCAGGAGACAGCAGAACAATCCAGCATCTTAGGAGAGGGGACAGGGATACCAAATGGAGGACAGCCCCAGGGATCCAGCCCCAAAAGCTGCAGAATGCTGCCAAGGAGCCTTTTCTAGAATTAACCCCAAGTATTCATTTTTAGCTGGCAGGTGCACCAAATATTTGAAGCTTTAGTTAATACAGGGGCTCTTCAAATTATGATTGGGAATAAATCCCGACCTACCCATCCTGAGTTAAAATAATAAGTTGAAGTGCATTGGCTCTACCTAGCCCATCAAATGTTAACAACAGTACACAGTAGGGTGCAGGCAGCTTACCCTTGTGATCCTGTGGCTGAGAGAGCTGCCACCACCCAGAGTCATGAAACAGGATCCTGCCTCATGTCACTAGCCTAGGAAAGGACACTGATTCCAAATCAACGACAGTTTCCACAGAATTCATTCACTTCTCTATCATCAAAATGCTGGGGGGAAAAGTCATATCATCAAAAGTTAGGGATTGTCTAACATTGATGTGAGTGTGAGTGTGTGTGTGTGCACACAAGAACGCACCAGTACTAAATCTTAAACTTAGGGCCTGAGTGTTGTCCCTTACCCTTTTCACTGAAAGCTGATGCTCTACCACTCGAGGTTTTTTGGTGATTAATTGGAGATAAGCACCTCATGGATTTTCCTGCCAAAGTTGTTCATACCTCAGCCTCCTGAGTAGCTAGGATGATAGGCATAAGCCACCAGCCCCTAGCTCCAATCTTGATTTTTTAATAGCTACCCCATGAATAAGTCTCCCTAGAAGAATAAAGGCCCTTATGTAAGGGAAGGTTTGGGTTTTATTATTATTATTTATTGTTATTTTTAAAGGTGATGTACAGAGGGATTACAGTTATATGAGTCAGATAATGAGTACATTTCCTTTCCTACAGTGTCTTCCCTTCCCTCTCTCCTAGTCCCTCCCTCACATCTCCACCCACAGTTGTATAGTTTATTTTCATCAGTGTCCAGTGAGCTCTACTGCTGTACTTTTTCACCCCTTATCCCTTGAATGTTGTACCCTCTCCACCACCCTCCTGAAGATACAAAGATGCACATACACATAAATAAAGAAAAGATGACAGAATCATCAAGAAATAAAAATGTTAGAAAAGAGAGAGAGCTTGCTTCCATATCAAATGACATAATTTTATTCTTTCTAATGGCTGTGTACAATTCCACTGTGTATAGGTACCACATTTTGGGGATCCACTCATCAATTGTGGGGCATCTGGGCTGTTTCCTTCTCTTAGCTATTGTGAATAGTGTGGCAATGAACATGGATGTGCAGGAAGGGAAGGTTTTGAACTTGCCTATTACTAATGAACCAAGTGGGGACACACAGCTGAGGTGAATTATGAAGTCATTCTGTGCCCACTTGCACTTCCTAGTGGGAAGAGCAGAGTAGATGCCCTGGAATTCCACCTGTTTGGCACTTATTATTATTGTTATTATTATTGCTATTCATGTCTCTTGTTTCAGAGTCATAGAACATCCCCCTCCCTGGGCCCCAGATAGGCCCAGAGTGCCCTGGCCTATGTACCCAGTAATATTTCCTCTCTTCCAAGAGTAGCAAGCACTCTGTTAGCTCTGGATGCTATGTATACAGGAATCTCCAAACGCCCACTTGCAGCAAGCCTTGCCCTGTATGCTCTTGCTCTGTTCTAGCAACCAACAGTTAAGAACCTAGAGTGAAGTCTTGGGTCCTACATTCTGGTGGGTATTTCTTGAAGAGCTTGGAGGCATATCACAGCTGTTCACCAATACCCCTGCCACGGTGGCCTTTCCCATGTCACCACCTACCTTCCACCACTGGTGGGATATCTTAGAAACATCTGCTTGTTTACTGCAGGTGATGAGGTGATCACCTTAAACATGATCAAGAGTGCTCCCGTGGGACCTGTGGCCGGAGGGATCATGGGCTGCATCATGGTGCTAGTGCTGGCAGTATATGCCTACCGCCACCAGATCCATCGCCGAAGTCACCAACATATGTCTCCTCTTGCTGCCCAAGGTGAGTGCAGAGGGAATCCCAGAGGCTCCTGTGGGTTGTCCAGCTTCTTTGGAATCATTTAAGACATTTCAGCAAGTTAGTGCCTAAATCCTGCCACCCTCCAAGAACTCTCCTCTCTTCTAGCCTACACTATATACTAGCTTGCCACAGTCTGCTATGGGTAGGTAAGTCAGAGGATCTGGGTGCAGGGTAGAAAATTTTGTGTCTCAGACACACTGCCCTTGCAGTTCTGTAAAGATGAGTGAATCAGGGATACCCCAGATCATTAGTGCCATGATCACAAGTTCATATCATTGCAACTGCTATTACGTGTGTCAATCTCTTGTCTCCCTTGGAGGACTGAGGCTTGAATTTAGGGCTTTGGATTGGCTAGGAAGGTACTGTATTGCAGAGCCACACCTACTGCACTCTTTTGCACTGGTAATTCTGAAATAGGGACTCACTTTTTCCTTGGGCACTCCACCTATTTTATACTTCCCTACAGTAGCTGGGATAACGCATGCACATCTCCATGCTCACCTTCTTCCTTTGAGGTAGAGTCTCACAAACTCTTATGTCTAGACTGGCCTGGAATTGTGACCTTCCCTCATCTCAGCCTCCCAGGTGGCTGGGATGACAGGAACATGGCACTCTACCCAACTATTGGTTGAAAAGGGGTCTAGTCTGTTTGCTTCAGACTGCAGTCCTTCCAGTCTGCTTCCCACATAGCTAGAATTACAGTTATCAGTGTCACGAAAATAGTTGTTTATCTGAAAAGAGTCATTAAACCCAAGTACAAAAGAACTCATCTGTAAACATGACCTTGATACCAAGAGTTTTAAGCCTGTTGTTTGTACTTGCATGTGTGTGTCTGTCTGTCTATAGCTGGATCTATGTCTGTATGTGTGTGGTCTATCTGTACTGAAGTTTGAATTCAGGGCCTGAATGTTGTCCCTTTGACGTGTGTGTATGTGTGTGTGTGTGTGTCTGTGTGTCTGTGTCTGTGTGTCTGTGTCTGTGTCTGTGTCTGCGCGCGCATATGCACACGCATTCTACCACTTAAGCCACAGATTGACTTCTGGCTTTTTGGTGGTTAATTGGAGATAAAAATCTCTTGGACTTTTCTGCCCAGGCTGGCTTTGAATCACAACCCTCAGATCTCAGCCTCCTAGCTAAGATTAGAGGTGTGACCCACTGGCTCCTGGCTTATCCATACTTACTAAAAGGAACAAGACCATTTAATGGTCATCCCCAGTCCCCCAGGGATGTGCTAACCTGACCTTTACAAAAATGGTTTATCTTTCTCCCTGGCCACTTCCTCAGCCTTGCAGCAGTAGTAACAGGTTGATGCTCTCGACCATTTGGTGACTACAGGGGAAATATTGCCTGAGTTAACCCGAGAGATGGTGACAGAGCCTGCCTTTGTTGAGATTTGGCTAAGCAAGGATGACCATCATCCAGTGTTGCCTTAGGTTTAGCCTTTGACAAGTTTTTGTAATACTACTGAGTCAGCAGTCAGCCGTGGGTTAGACCCTTTTTCTCCCATATCAGGGACTTTAGGAGAAATTAGCCATTATTTGGCTCCATCAACTTCTTTTCTCCTTTTAGTCTCTGTTTCCTCCTTTTAAAAGTGTGATGGGCTGGGGACATTAGTTCATTCCCTTCTAAAATGAGATTCACTCTTTCTGTTGTTTCTGTTTTGTCTGTGTGAGGGATTGAACCCAGCACATGCTAGGCAAGCATCTTCCATGGAGCTAAATCCCAAACTACGTCCCAGATACACGCTGGATGGAATGCTGTCACCCAGCCATCACATGATTGCTCAGCAGGGTATTAAAGTGGGTGGTTTTGTTTGATTAAATAGTCATGTTTCTCTCTTTTTAATGATGGGTAGAAATGTCAGTGCGTATGTCCAACCTGGAGAATGACAGAGATGAAAGAGACGAGGACAGCCACGAAGACAGGGGCATCAGTGAGTATCCAGCTGCCTTGTGCAGCCGTTGTCAGCAGGAGGCAAATCCAGAATAAATATTCCTTCTCATGTCCTTTTGGCTTGTATTAAAATTTAAGAAGCTTTGACAGTTGGCTGCGTTTCTTTTTTTTCTTTCTATCCCACTCTCCCTTTTTTGTTAGGAATAAGTGAAGGGCTTTGCTTTGTTTTGGAAAAATCTCAGAAGATTTTTTTTTTTTTTGGCATCAAGTGGCCTAAAAAAGCTTGGTTATGCTTTCCTTTCATTCTCCCCCTCATTAACTTTCCAACATAGTGTTTTAAAAAGAGAAAGTTTCTAGGATGCATTTGTTTAGTCCCTTAGCTAGTGTACACAGTACATGGGGGGGGAGAGCATTTTCTTTATCAAAAGAGAGTCCTGTTGTTGTTGAGGTGCTCTGACCTTCATTCCGCTCCCTGAGAAATGAAGTTGTGGGAGTAAGTACCTCTCCCTGTATTCAGCCCTCCTCTCCTCCCCTCCCTTCCCTTCCCTAATCTTCTCTTCCCTCCCCTCCCCTCCCCTCCCCTGCCCCCTCCTTTCCTCTCTTCTCCTCTCCCCTTCTCTTCCCTCCCCTCCTCTCCTTTCTATCTCTCCTAAGATTTTGTTTTGTCTAGTGTTGTGTTTGGTGCTGGTGTTGGGCCTGAACTCAGGGCTTGGATATTGTCCCTTAGGTTTTTCACTCAGGGATAGCACTCTACTATTTAGGCCACAGTTCCACTGCCAGCTTTTTGCTGATTAATTAGGAATAAGAACAAACTTTCCTGCTCAGGCTAGCGCCAAACATCCTCAGTACCCAGTCTCCTGAGTAGCTAGGATTATAGGTGTGAACCACCAGTGCCTAGCCCTAGAATTCTTTTAAAAGTTATCCAGGCACCAGTAATTCATGCCCATAATCCTAGCTACTGAGGAGACTCTTTTCTCCCATTAACTACCAAAAAGCTGGAAGTAGAGTTGTGGCTTAAGGATAGATCACTATCCTTGAGCAAAAGAAACTCAGGGATAGGGCCCAGGCTCTGAGTTCAAGCCCTAGGACCAGCACCAAAACAAAACAAATATTATTTAGTCTAGCTGTCAGAGTACTCTGCTAATGTGTGACAGCGCATGCTCAGAGCAGGGGCGCTGACCACCATGAAGGTGCTGGGCATGGGTGGTGCTAACTCTCCTTGTCTTCCCGCAGTCAGTAATACCCGGTTCATAGCCGCAGTCATTGAACGGCACGCACACAGTCCAGAAAGGAGGCGGCGCTACTGGGGCCGGTCAGGAACAGAAAGTGATCATGGTAAGATCTGGTTTCCTGTGTGAGAACCTATGAGATGACTATCGCACACACCTACTCCCCTTCTCCCCGCTCTCCTGCTCTGTGCTTGATTTCTTATCAATTTCTATAGTTATTATTAAGGTGGTATACAGAGGAGATACCATTTCCTGAGTCAGTAATGAGAGTACATTTCTTTTTTATTTTGGATAATGTCATCTCTTCTTTTACTTTCCCCCAGTTTCTTCTTCCCATCTCTGCCCACAAGTTACATAGGTCATTTTTCACATCATTTTTCACAGCATGATTGCCTTTGTTCACCCTTCCTGTGCCCTTTCCTCTACCCCAACCCTAAAAAAAAAAAAAAACAGTAACAACAACAAAAGCATGTTTCCATTTCCCAGAGTTCATTTTAATAAATAGTATTTTAAATGCTCAGAGAAGTTACATTTGAGTCCCTCTCTTTAAGGTGTCCTCCTTTAGTCTGATAATTTGTGTGGGAATGCAGAGTCCTGAATAGGTTATCTAACTTCCCCATATGAGGGAAAACATGCACCACTGGTTCTCTGAACTTGGCTTATCTCACTTAGAACAAACCTCATGAGTTGTTGGAGGTCCATCCATTTCCCTGAAAATCCCTTTCCCTTCTAATGGATGAGTAAAATTCCGTGTGTGTGTGTGTGTGTGTGTGTGTGTGTGTGTGTGTGTGTGTATCACCATTTACTCATCTACTCACCTGTTGTGGGGCATCTGGGCTGTTTCTATAATTTGGCTATTGAGAATAGTGGAGCAGTAAATATGGATGTGCAAGTGTCTTTACCATACCTTGAACATTTCGTGTTTGTGGTACTGGAGTTTGAACTCAGAGCCTTGTATTTGCTAGGTAGGCATGCCATCACTTAAGCTATACCCCCAGCTCTTATTTGCTTTAGTTAATTCTCAGATGAAGCCATGTATATTTTTGCCCAGGGCTGGCCTCAGACCATGGTATTCCTATCTATGCCTCCCACCTAGTTAAAATCATAGCTATGAACCACCACAGCCAACTTATTTGTTGAGATAGAATCTCTAACTTTTTGCCCATGGTGACCTGGAAACTCTAACCCTCTCAATCTCTTCCTCTGTCATAGCTGGGATTACAGCCTGGAACCACTGAGCCCAACCAAAGCATTACATAGTTTGACTTAGTCTCAGCATAGACTGGTTGCCTCTGGCCACCCAGCTCGCTCCCAGGTTTCTCTCCGTAAACAAGTTATTCATTTAGTCTGCATGGAACCTAATCACTCTTCCACTTGTTTCTCAGTGCAATGGATAGACATCCCCTTAGGGCCTACCACCCAGTGTTGGTGATGGAACACCAACTCACTGAAGGATCTCCTAGCTGTGTACCCTTGGGGCTTGATTAGAGTCTTAGCCTTCCTCTAGTCTTCCCAGCCTGTTGTCTGGCTTTGTCTGGAATGCTCAGAGAAGTCTTCGCCAAAGCAACATTGTGCACCGAGCCTTAATGGAAAGTTAGGAGTCCAGGCTTGAATTGGTCCAATCATCAGTGACATAAAGTTCAGTGCAACCGATGCTCTGGCAGTTGAAGCTAAGGGGGCACCAAGAGCCATGTGAAGGAAGCCCTGAAATAGGGAATTCTACATTCTCTCCTGGAGAGAGCACCCTTCTGCCCCCCCACACACACACCTTGGCCTCTCCCCTTCCTGGTATCGCAAAGAGCAGGTTCTCCGGGAGCATCGCTGCCACAGTGTGTTTCCATACCAACAGGAGAAGTTCGTGAGATTCCTTCAGGCAGCCAGTGTGGCTTGGGGCACAGCTGCCAGCGCATCAAATTCCCTTTGGAAAATGGGAGCAGCCGATCCTCTGCAGTGTAAACTTAGACTGTTGTTCTCATTTGGGTTTTCACTCACATTGTTCCCACAGAGCATATAGAACCTTTGGTTCTTGTGGGAAGCCAACACACAACTTAAATTTTTCAGTTTCTTGACTTCCTTGGCTTTCCCCTCTCCCCTCTCCCCCCACCAAAAAACACTTTGAACCAGCATAAAATCTTTCTGCTAGGCAGTTTTGTGTCCTCTCCTTTGAATACTAAAGCAGGTTTGGGGCTACTAAAGTTCAACAGAAATAATTTCTTATTCAGCAGGGACATTGAATACATTCTCTCTCATTCTCTCTCTCCCCCCCTCTCTCTCTCCCTCTCCCCCTCTCCTCTTCTCCCCCTCTCCCTCTCTTCCCCTCTCTCCCTTCCCCCCTCTCTCCCTTTTCCCCTCTCTCCTTCTCCCTATCCTTTTCCCTAGCCCTCTTTCCTCTCTCCCTCTCTCTATTTCTTCCAACCCACCACCCATCACATCAATAGCAAGTTGGGATTCTGACTGATGTTTCTGAAATCCCTTTGGCCCCTCCCACTGTCTTAGTAAAATGATATCGAAAGCGTGTGCTGAGATAAAACTCATAGTGCAGTGTCGGTATCCAAAACCCAAAGAATCCAGTGAAGGGCTTGCCTGCTTTCATTTTTCCTCCCAGTAATTGGATCCCTGTTTTCTCTAAGGAATACAATACTACAGTTTTTCAGGCAGACAGAATGTTAACACAAAAGAAGTAGAAGGCAATGACATTCCCATATTCCCAATGTGTCGTAAAATCAAGAGAGCCTAACCACGTGATATCGCCGTCCCGCAGCTGCCCAGTGGGTCACTAGAAGTGGTGCCATCATGGTGCGTCCCTGTAATGAGGATAAACAGGGTAAACTGTACATGCATCTCCACCCTCATAGTTTTATCCACACAGTGCTGACTTATCTGAATGTTCTCTCGTGGAGTGCTAGTAGGGGGCATCTCCAGTTTGCTGGGTACTATAAAGGGAGTTCAGTGGAAAGAGTATAGAAGAGTCAAGCCAAGCTCATTTTGAATTCTACCAGCCACCTTTCCTTTTGTTTTGGTTTGTTTCTTGGCTTGTTTCTTTTAACAAACTATTGAGATTCTAGCAAGCTACTTTGGGCTTTAACTTCCTAGTTCATTCATTCTTGTTTTCTTTCTTTTTCTTTTGTACTAGGGCTTGAACTCAGGGCCTGGGTGCTGTCTCTTTTTCACTCAAGCCCGGCACTCTACCACACACCTCTGTTTCTGGCTTTTTGTGGGTTAATTGAAGATAGGAGTCTTATGCACTGTCCTGGCTTAGACCCATGATCCTCCAATCTTAGCCTCCTGAGTAACTAGGATTAGAAGTTTTGATTGATTTCCTAATTCTTAAAACTTAAATACTCTACCTGTTGTGTTGTGAGGACTAAATGCAATTGCATGATAGGCTTGGAGCTCAGGCTTAACCTCTCTGTCTATATGCCCCCCTCCCCCCTCCCACCCCCTGCTCTTCTCTGAAGGGATTTACAATGCAGGAGGAAACCATAAATGAATGCATATATTCCTGAGGCTGATTAAAGCTGGGGTATGACCATGTACTTAGAAGATATGGACAAAGAAAATGGAGAGGAGACAGTTCACTTTAGGAGGCCACAGTGGTAACAGAACTGTAGCCCTGATCTGTGCTGCCCAGTGGTAGATTTCCATGAGTCTTTTTGGTGAAATGCACAAAAGCAAACTCAAAACCCATGCTGTGACTATTGGAGTTCCTACATATGGTAGAGTTAAGAGCAGAGCCATCCCAAGAATTAAAACTAAAGGTTGACCAGCTAAATATGGAAGCTTCCAGATGTATTTTTTATTTTTTGGGGGGGGGTCCAGTCATGGGGCCTGAACTCTGGGCCTGGGAGCTGTCCCTCAGCTCTTCAGCTCAAAGCTAGCACTCTACCACTTGAGCCACAGTGCCACTTCCGGCTTTTTTCTTTTTGCTTATGTGGTGCTAAGAACTCGAACCCAGGGCCTCATGCATGCAAGGCAAGCACTCTACCACTGAGCCACCTTCCCAGCCCCCAGATGTATTTTTTATTAAAAACATTCTACGTGGCTAGTAGGGTCTTGAAGTTTAAAGAAATCCGATTGTAGGCTGAGTACACTAGCTCAAGCCTGTAATCTTAGCTAGCTACCAGGCAGAAGTTGAGGGATGGATCACATTTGGAGGCAGGCCCTGGCAGAAAAGTTTGGAGGGCTTCATCTCAAACTATGGCTAGGTGCAGTAGCATGTGACTGTTATCCCAGCTACTGGGGAAGCACAGTGACTTGATACAATGTGAGCTGCCTATCATCCCCAGCAACATGGGAAAACACTAATAGGAGGATCATAGCCCAGGCTAGCCCAGAGAATAAAGTGTGATCCACCTCAAAAGCAACCAAGGCAGAAAGGGGCTGGAGGTTTGTTTTAACAAACTGTTGAAACCTTAGTAAATTAATTTGGACCTCAAATTATGGTTCAAAAGTATGGATGGCTCAAGTGATAAAGGAACTGCCATGTAATTCAATCCCTAGTATTGTAAAAAGAAAAATAATATTTTGTTTTGTTTTGCCAGTCCTGGGCACTTGAACTCAGGGTCTGGGTGCTGTCCCTGAGCCTCTTTGTGCTCAAGGCTAGCTCTCTACCACTTAGGACACAGCACCACTTCCAGCTTTTTCTAAAGAGTGTCATGGATTTTTCTCCCCTAGCTGGCTTTGAACCATGATCCTCAGATCACAGCCTCATATGAAGCTAGGATTACAGGCATGAGCCACCAGTACCCAGCTCTAATTTTAATTTTTACACTTTAAAAGGAAAGCTACTTAAGTTGAGAATATTTCTTGGAAAAGCAGGCCTGGGCAGTTTTGTGTGTGTGTGCGTGTGTGTGTGTGTGTGAGAGAGAGAGGGTTCTTGGGATTGAGCCCTGGCTCTTGTACATGCATCATATGTGCTCTGTACTGAGCTACATACAACCATGGCCCCAATTATGACAATATTCTAAGAGCACTTAAAAGTGATTGTTTATCAGCAGCTACAGCCACAAGTAAACAGAGGTGACAGTTACTATCTACATATGCTTATTGTGTTTCTGCTTTGCCTAGTATTTCCTTGTATTTCTCAGTGTAAGTCAACTCCTAGTTTATTTTTAATTAAACATCAACATATATTTATTTGTTTCTTGTGAATTTATATTTCGGTTACTATATTATTCGAAACTTCATACTTGCACATACTGAGCAACAATTATTCTCCAGCAAAAAAGAAGAATATTCCCTTTGTTCTCAGAAGATTCCAAAATACTTGAGGCAAATACTGAAACATGAAATTAATAGTCAAAAAGAGAACTGTTCTACAAGTGTTCCCATATCTTCCTGCAGTGACTCCCTTTGGCCACACGGTGGTGTCTGAGTCCCTAGAGAGACCTAATGTCCGCAACAAATAAAATATTTTACAGAAACCATGAGATACATGTGTCAGCAGAGCACCAAAGTCTAAGAGTCTAGTCCACATTCTCTTTATGGATGCCTGGTCATCTTCCTGAGGCCTGTTCTCACCTGAGATTGTCTTTGCAGATACTTTTCTACACATGCCTCAGGAAAGTAATAAGTTCTATAAAAGTGTTAGCGCATTTGTGTTCAAGGAATGATTCCTCATACTGGGTCAGGGCCCTGTCTGTCCTTAATGATTGATCACTGCTCCCAGAAGAACTGCCTGCCACTGAGCATTTCATTTGTTCAGTGAAAAAATGTGTCTTAGTCCTGCTTCTACACCTTCTGATTACCATCAATTCTGAAAAAAGGACCATACAGGGAGTTTAACCACTAGCATTGGAGAGAAAGAATTTAAGAGGAAAGAAAGCTGGGTGCTGGTGGCTCACTCCTACAATCCTACCTACTCCAGAGGCTGAGATCTGAGAGTCACAGTTCAAAGCCATCCTGGGCAGGAAAGTCCTTGAGACGCTTTATCTCCAGTTAACCACTAGAAAACCAGAAGTGGTGCTGTGAATCAAAGTGGTAGAACACTAGACTTGAACAGAAGAGCTCAGAGACCACACCCAGGCCCTGAGTTCAAGCCCCACAAGTGACCCAAAAAAAGGAAAAAGGGAAGAAAGATTCACTTTGGATCATGGCTTCAGAGGTTTCCATCCATGATTAACTGGACCGTGGCAAGGTGGAAAGTCATGGCAAAAGGACGAAGTAGAGCACATTCTTGTGTCTGGTGTGGAAGGGCTGGGAATGAGTTAGTTCTTCCCATGGTATCTTCCCAGTGACCTACTTCACCAACTAGACCCAACCCCCAATAACGCCAGTGTATTCTAAATCCATTATGGAATGCTCCATTGGTCAAGTCAGAACTTGCAGGAGCCAATCACTTCCCGAAAGTACACCCATCTTTAGCATATGAGCCTTGAATCTCAGATCCAAATAATAGCAGTATGATAACAAGGAAATGAAATGGCTGTAGTATATGGGTTGTACTCCAGGAGGGGTCTGTGCTGAGGTGCTCATTCAGAAGCAGTTACAGAAGGATAGGACAAATAATAAAGTTGTCTGGAGACAGCTACATCATCCCTATCCAGCAGTAACCAGGTGGCCTGGGGCCAGCCTGGATCAGTGTATCACTGGACTCTTGTCAAAACCCCTGGGCAGGACTCAGTAAATCGTCCAGTGGTTTCTATATTAAATAAGACTAGTGAATGTCATGCCAGGCAAAACTTGGCAGGCAGCAGAGATGAAAAACTATCCCTGGGGTATTTGAGTAGTCCACATAGACAAAGCGTCTTTGCCCAACTCATGTTTTCAATGTCACTCTTTCTGCAGGCAGCATGAGATTCTACCCTATGTCACTCAGATTTCAGAGTCTTACACCAACTCTCATTTTAGACTCAGCACTACACTACCAAAGCTGAGAAGCTGCCGAACTTGTCCTGGCTCCTGAACATATCACTATTTCCCCAGCCTCTGAACCTGGAAGCCTTTGGCCTTATCCGAGGATGGCAGAACCATCCAGCTTGCTCTGCCCTGGAACAGTCTCTTGAAGCTACCTGTTGCTCCATCTCCAGACACTGCTAGGATCCCACTCTAGGATCCCTCCCCTCCCCTATGAACATCTCCTGGAGAGTTGTGGGCTCCAGTCTCTGTCCTCTGAATCTGACTCTACCTTCCTTCTGTCCAGCCTCCTCATTGTCACTCCACCCCACCCTGCCATTGCCTGTCACTACATCTCTTCTTGAGACTTGGACCAGCCTTCTTGGCCAACCTTCATCTGCCTATCCAGTGACATTTCCTACTTCCTTTCCCACACACCAAGCTTGTCAGTATTGCCCAAAGCCAGCAGAGTCTTTCAGCCATTGCTCAGAGTTACTGCATGTGTTCGTACCTTCCACTCTTTTCTTCACCTAGTGAGCTCCTTGGCTTTGCAGGCAGTGCTCCTGTATTTGTGAGTAATGTCATATGCACGCCACAGAACTCTCAATAATCAGCTGTGCAGAAGCAAAAACTTCCTTCCTGAGCTTGGGGTTTCTGGATCTCTTCTCTCATCATCCTGATTTGAAGTAATAGTTGTCTACACACACACACAGACACAGACACACACACACACACACACACACACACACACACACACACACCATGTCATTGGTCATTCACGCCTGATAGTTTAACAACTTATAGCTGTCCAGCCCACTCCTTATTTTAACTTCATTCCCAGCTGAGCTATTGTAATAGCTTCCTGTCTCTTCCATCCATCCTTCAAATTACCAGCCAGACTCCCTTAATATAGAAATAATTGTGCCAGGATTTTTCCAAAAACCTTGAATCACATCTCCATTTCCTTCTCTTTGATATGATCTTCGGGATCTAACTTTAAATTACCTTCCATTTGCATGTGTTCTATTCCCTAGCTAGCACACATCCACGCCACAGGCACAGGGACAGCTTTCCATCTCCTCACTTCTGTGGCTGGTCTCATCCTGTCTTTGCTCAGCCCTTCATACCAAACTCCTATTCATCTTTCTTACCAAATTCTTCTTCATCCATTTAAGACCAACTAAAATATTAGTTCTGAAATGCTTCCTCACTCCCCACCCAGAATTAGTGATTCCCTCTTTTGGATTGCAATCATACTTCCATTATGCCATTCATACTATCTGCATTAGAGGAAGCCTAGTTCGGTTAGCATCTGACTCATACTTAATTGTATACTCATTAAGGAAAGAAGACATCATTTATTCATGGCTTGTCATACCCCCTTCCAGCCCATATGGTCTGCAGCTAATGAGTAATTCATTCACCTGTGCTTGTATTTGTTTTACTTCTCCCACACTGACTTTTCAGCTCTTTCTGATGGACCAAGTTTGCATCTTTATATCTCCCCTGAGAGCCCAACATAGTGACTTGTACACAGGAGGTGGCTAATAAATGTTTGCTGACTGTTAAATAATTCTGTCATTTCAATAACATTTCACTGAGGATTCATTTGCCTTTCTCGGTTTGTTTTTTTGTTTTGGTTTGGTTTTTGCACAGAACATACATTTTCCACCATAAACTCCTCTTACTTGGCTGTGTTCAAGCAGATCAACTTTGTAGCCATAAATGTGATAGCACTTACCATGAGTGAATGCTGATTTGCCAACTGTAGATGTGGCAAAAATATTAATGAGCTGTCACTTTTCAAAACGTTTAAAGGGAGATTTCTGCAATATTTAAAAACATGCCAGGATTCCTGAAACAGAATCCTTTGATCAACAAAGACATTTTCTTTTGAAACATGCATGACTTCGAATTCTGAAAGAAATTAATGTTTAAACACGGCGAGCCAGCTCACACAGAGAATAGTTGATTCCTCTTTCAGTTGCTACGGGAAGGTATGGAGTTGGTGTTTTATTAAGTGCTAGAACCCTGGGCAAGTTCCTTAACTTTTCTGATCATCCTCTCCCCCCTTTGTATCATGGATATTAAAATGCATGCCTCAGCAATGTACAAGAATTAGCTGACATGCGTGCCTGCTGAGGAGCAGGTGTGCAAGTAATGGTACCACTTGGTTTTTTACTTACTGGCACCAGATGCAGGATTTCAGTGCTCAACTTTTCCCCCACCCACCCAATGGATCTGAGTCCTGTTTGTAGCTTTCTCATATCCACTGATCACTTATTTGTGTGGATTTCTTTAATTCAGGAAACATTCTTAATCACCAGAAGAAGACTAGTGGTATAGCACCCTAATTGCCAATGAGGGATAGATAGAGGGATGGATAGATAGATAGACAGAGGAATATATGAGGTGATTCCCTTTTTTCTTTTTTAATCGTTGTTGATATATGGAGATTTGAGATAAAGGATCCTTGTTTACTTTGTTACCATCATACTTTAATTACCTAAAAATAACTATTGATTGTGCTGTTGTTTTTAAGAGAAAAATGTTAACTCTGGAGCCCTTTAAAAGTAAGCCAGCTGCATCTGTTGATAGTGTGCAAGTGTTTATGCTTACATATGGCAAAAATAGGAGCAACTCCCCCTGTCCTAGAAGTTCTAAATAGATTTTCTTTGTGTCTTGAAGCCATCAGCTGCATCTTTGTTTATTCCTTTTCTAGGCTACAGTACGATGAGCCCACAGGAGGACAGTGAGAATCCTCCATGCAACAATGACCCTTTGTCAGCTGGGGTTGATGTTGGAAACCATGAGGAGGACTTGGACCTGGATACCCCACCTCAGACGGCAGCTCTACTAAGCCACAAGTTCCACCACTACCGCTCACCCCACCCCACCCTTCACCACAGCCACCACTTACAGGCAGCTGTGACAGTACACAGCGTCGATGCGGAGTGCTAACGATCTCCTCACCTCCATAAGAAGATGGGATCTGGGACATACAGAATGTCCTGGAAAGAAAAAGAGCCTAAAACCTGCAGGAAAAATGCAGGCGATCCCTGTGGTTTGTGCTTTGTCTAGAGTGGTCTCATCCATTTGCTGCAGGCTGACATGTTTAAAAACAGAAACCACCACCAAATCACGTTTGTGAGGACTGATGCTGGCTTGGGAATGGAGGGGAAAAGGAAGCCTGATTAATAGACCTGCCATAACGCTAATGGAATGGAACAGAAGGCGAACCTCCAAACACAGAGACACGTGGGTAAAGGAAACGGAGCCAGAGGAATGTTCTCAGGAGCCAGAAGCCTCTGGCTGTCCTTAACTGGAAAAGAGGAAAGACTACTCCTCCAGAGACAGGGGACGTGGCATACTCAGGCACCCTACGTGTGCATTGAAGATTGTTCTTTGTTTCTTAGCGGTACCTAGACACCACGGTTGCTGTGTGGCACTCAAATGTTAAGCTCTAAATGATGCATCTCAAAATTTCTAAGTAAAGGATTATTTTTCTACTATTTATTGAACTTTGAAACATTCTCAGACTTTGGGGGAGAGAAAAAGGAAACACAGGAAAAATTCTCAGCAGTTAGCCCTCCCTGATACATGTGTGATGATGTGATTCTTTGACCAAGGAGTTCTATTTCTTATTTAACTGCTTAGCATCCCACTGCCCCAATGTGCACAATGGAAAAAAAAAATGAAGAAACTTCTCTCTGGCTTGTTTACGTCATTTCCTGGAAAGAGTGTTTTATTTGTAATGCAGTGGGAGGGGCAAAGAACACAAGATGTTTGAAAAAGGAAGTTTGTTTCTTTACACTTCATATCCAGTCCCACTCAATACTTTTCTTAGGTTTCTACGAAATCTAATATGACAACCCCAGCCTCTCAGTTTGGTCAGGGTCACATTTATTCCTTTATTCATTTAAAATTTTAAAATGTCTCATTTTGACTCCGAGAACATTACTCACATAAGGGAAGGCATTTTAAAATTGTGGAATGTTGGTTCTTAATTAAAGATTTCTTTTGAAATCATAGTATAAAGCTGCTGCCAGTTATCCAAGAAGTTACCCACCAAACTGCTTTTGATTTATATAAGGATTGATCAAATCTGGCTACTAAGACATGGGACATTGTAACTTTAAAGTAGTGTTCTAATTACAGTGATGTATTTTAGATTCACATTTTGTGATTCAAATATGTTATAAAGACCTTCTTGCACCGTGTGTTGGTGAACCTCCATTTATATGTAGTTGGGAAAAAAATTCACTGAATAATGTTTTAATGATAGGATATTATGATATAATGTTTTAAAACAAATGGGTTCTTCAACAGTACAGAAAGTAAACTATATTATGTGCTACTTGGCGACCCCTTCATACTGTGTATAAAATTGCAGTCTAGTGAAATAAACTACGCAACTGACAGTGTCAATGGCTACAGTGATTTGTTACTACACCAGTCTTCATGCTTCAGAGCAAGTCCCTTTTGTTGGTGGCAGTAATGGTGGTGGTCATGGGGCTTGAATACAGAGCCAGGGCACTATCCCTGAGCTTTTTCACTCATGGCTAGCACTCTACCACTTTGAGCCGCAGTGCTACTTATGGTTTTCTCATGGACTTTCCTGCCCAGTCTAGCTTTAAACAGTGATCCTCATATCTCAGCCTCATGAGTAGCTAGGATTACAAGCCTAAGCCACCGGTGCCTGGCTGCCCAGTCCCTTTCTTTCTGTAACCTAGAACAATCAATGCTTAAAAATATGTGTAAATCCAGGCAACTGTGGCTCACACCTGCAATCTTAGCTACTCAGGAGGCTGAGATCTGAGGATTGCTATTTGAAGCCAGCCCAGGCAGGAAAGTCTGGGACACTCTTATCTCTAATTACTCATCAAAAAGCTGAAGTGAAGCTGTGGCTCCAGTGGAAGAATGCTAGCCTTGGGGGGTTGGGGGAGGGTGGAAAAGTCTCAGGGACAGTACACAAACCCTGAGTTCAAGCCCCAGGACCAGCACTACAAAATATATATACTAGGGCTGGGAAGGTGGCTCAGTGGTAGAGCGCCTGCCTTGCATACATGAGGCCCTGGGTTCGATTCCTCAGCACCACATAAGCAAAAAGAAAAAAAAGCCAGAAGTGGCGCTGTGGCTCAAGTGGTAGAGTGCTAGCCTTGAGCTGAAGAGCTGAGGGACAGTGCCCAGGCCCAGAGTTCAGGCTTCACGACCAGACCCCCCCCAAAAAAATATATATATATATATATACTAAAAATGTGTGTGTGTAACTGCTGGGCTGGGCACATACCTCATGCCTACAATCCCAACATTCAGAAGGTTGAAACAGGAAGGTCTTCAGTTTGAAACCAGCCTGAACTATAAGGAAAAACATGTCAAAAAAATTGTTTAAAGTACTCAGTGGTAAAGCACTTACCTAGTATAAACAAGGTCTAGAGTTCTATTTTATCCAGGGAAAAAAGAAAAATAAATGTGTAAAATGTAGCATCCCTCTTCTTGAGCAGGTAAGTCTCTGTTAATATTGAATGGTTAATTCTTTTAGGAAAGGTTGGTTGCCTGGGTTTCCTATTCAGAAAAGTAAACCTCTCCATGTGATACATTATTGTCCCTCAAGATGAGGGACTCTGGGTTAAGAACCTAGCTTGCTGGTTGAGGAGGAGAGGGATTCAAGAGGAAATGTGGTCTTTCCAAGAAAGGAATCACAAAGCTGAGCTGAATAACAAAATATCTCCAGCCTGCTCATACACAGCAACAGAAATGCATTTCATATCATTTACAATGAGACTCTCCTATCCTGGGCTCTAGATGGAAGTGATCAAATGAATATAACCCAAGCAAGAAAACTGCTGGCTTTAAAGATTTGTGGAGTGTGACACTTGAGTTTCTGAAGGGTGTCCTAGAGTTGTCAGCTTCTACGTTTAATCTTTTATCTTCTTCCCCAAGTATTCTATGTAATAATGTTTAAACATTTTGAGGTGGTGATAATGATGTTTGTATTGTTACTATTATTTTTTAAAGTAAAACAGGAGCCAGATGCTATGGTCTTACGTCTGTCATCCTAACTATTCAGGAAGCTGAGGTCTGAGGATTGCACTTCAAAGCCAGCTCCAGCAGGAAGTCCATACAACTCATCTCCAATAAACTACCAAAAAGCTGGAAGTGGAGCTGTGGATCAGAACTCTAGCCTTGAGCATAAAAGCTCAAATGTAGTGAGCAGACCCTGAGTTCAAGCCCCAGGAGAAGCACATACACACACACACAAACCCAGTAACGTGTGTGTGTGTCTGTGTCTGTGTGTGTCTATATCTGGGTGTGTGCAATGCTAGTCATGAGGCTTAAAGTCAATGTCTGGGCACTGTCCTTCAGCTTTTGTGCTTACCTGATCCACAGCTCCACCTCTGGTATTTGAGTGGGTAACTGGAGAGGAGCTGGGGCTGGCTTCAAACCATGCTCCTCAGATCTCAGCCTCCTGAGTAGCTAGGATTATAGGTGTGAACCATCAGTGCCCAGATGGATTTTTTTCTCTCATGCTGACCACTGTTTCATGTACTTCTGATAGCATTGTCTATTAAGGTCTTCCCTGGGAATCCTGAAGAAAGATCCTATCAATGCCTTCTTGCTTCCCAAGGCCTCCGGATACTGATAACCAACACTGCTTATCAACATTGGTAAGTATCGAGCTGGGGTATTCCTAGTCACTTTGTATGGGGAGAAACGTAAACATCTTTGGAGCCCAAGGCAAATAGGGTCCAACCATACTTATAACATATGCTTATCTGCTCTTCAGATATATTTGTTTTGCCAGGTGCAGGTGGCTCATGCCTGTAATCCTAGCTACTCAGGAGGCTGAGATCTGAGGATCACAGTTCAAAGCCAGCCTGGGCACGAAAGTCCGTGAAACTCTTATTTCCAATAAACCACTAGAAAACCAGAAGTGGCGCTGTGGCTCAAGCAGTAGAGCGCTCGCCTTGAGCTGAAGAGCTGAGGGACAGCGCCCAAGCCCAGAGTTCAAGCCCCATGAACGGACCCAAAAAAAAAAAACAAACATATAGTTATTTTAAAACTTTTGGAAACTGATAGTTTTTTTCCCCATTACTTGATTTGATCTAAATGTTTATTGGAAAAAATTGTTAATTTACTCAGATAGGCTTTCTTTGCCTACCAGATGACTGCCATGTGGAGAGAAGTCCCGCATCACTTAGATTCACTTTCCTGTAGCAGTGGGCTGCTCCGTGGTTCTATTTTTGGAAATATGTATCTGGTAGAGTCATCATATGAAAACAGAGCAGCCCAGTCTCATCTGTGTTCTCTTTGTTCTCCACCAGTGCTGATTTTCCTGGCTGAGATGCAATGCCATAGTCAAATTCTTTTTCTGTTTAAAATAATCTAAAAATTGAAAGATAATATTTCTAAGTCTGTTATATATGCCAATAGAGAGTGGTTGAGTTAATAATGATTGTATATATGCGTACATTGAGGTTTGGGGGGGGAGGTTGTTGTTGGTTGGTTGGTTGGTCATAGGGCTTGAACTCATGGCCTGGGCACTGTCCCTGAGCTTTTCTGCTCAAAACCAGCAGTCTACCGCTATAAGCCACAGTCACTTCCAGTTTTCTGATAGTTCATTAGAGATAAGAGTCTCTTGGCCTTTCTTGCCCAAACTGACTTCAAACCACAATCCTCAGATCTCAGCCTCCTGAGTAGCTAGGATTACAGGCCTAAGCCACTAGGACCCAGCCAAGATTTTTTTTTTTTTGGCAGGGGGTGGTTTTCCAACCTTACTAAAGCTTCTTCCTTCTGTTTCCTTAATTCAATAACTCTCTCTCTCTCTCTCCATCATCTCCTCCTCCTCCTCCTTCTTCTCCTTCTGCTTTTCTTCTTCTTTTCTCTCTCTCCCTCTCCCTCTCTCCCTTCCCCACTTACTCCCCTCCCTCCCCCAACCCTGGGGGTTGAACTCAGTCAGGTTAGTACTCTACCATTAGCACTCTACCACTTGAGCCATGGTTCTGTCCAGGCTCGCTTCCAATCTTGATCCTGAAATGTTACCCCTTTTAATAGGATTACAGGTATGAGCCACTGGCACCCATTCTCATTTTCTTTAAATATTATTGATACCTCCCCTCTAAAGAGAAAATTTTAATTTCTATTCTCCCTGAGATACCAAATGATAAGGGTATTACCAAGAATATTACAAAATATTGTAATATCCAATTTCTTTTCCTTTCCTGTGAATCCAGTTTGGCCCCTTTGTGGCTAATATTTGCCCCATGAGGGATGTGTGCTTGCATAGGTGGTCTCCCAGATTCATGTCTCAGCCCTACTCTCAGTACTCTCTAACTGACCAGGTCTTTGAGCTATTTGTCTATGTGTCTGTGTCTCTTGTGTGTCTGTGCGTCTGCATGTGTGACTAATTTGCAATAAAATACTATGCATTTCAAAAGGATAAGAGAAAGAATTTTGAATGTTTGCACCCTCAAGAAATGATAAGTGTTTGAAGAAATAGGTTCAAAACATGACACAAATCAGGCACTGGTGGCTCACGCCTGTAATCCTAGCTACTCAGGAGCCTGAGATATGAAGATCATGGTTCAAAGCTAGCCTGGGAAAGAAAGTCCTTGAGACTTATCTCCAGTTAACCACCGAAAAGCCAGAGGTGGAAGCATAGCTCAAGTGATAGAGTACTGGCC